TCCGTTTTTCCCCCCCCCCCCCCCTTCTAAATTCTGAATCAGTCCTTTGGAAACATTCCCCTACAACCATTAGGATACCTGCAAGGGTGAAAACCCACAGGACGATGGTGGCTCGATTTCTTTTTAAATATTTAGTTGCTCCTGAACGCTAGTCAAGAGAACATTACGTAGTTATTATCACACGAATTACAAGACTATATTTGTATTCTAACTTGACAACGTTTGAACGTAAGTTCTTATTTTAATAACTTCACGATTAATATTAATATCCCTATCGAAATATATGTAAATATATCATTTTTATAACCCGTACAAAATATTTAAGCTTCTGATATTTTCAGAAGAAGAAGAATATTTTTATTATAATAAAATAAATATCTATTGAAAATGGGTCGAAGGAAAGCTAAACGAGAAACGCCACAAAGAAACAAAACGATCGTACCTATGGATATACAATTCACGTGTCCATTTTGTAATCATGAGAAGTCGTGTGAAGTTAAAATGTAAGTTTTAATGCATCGTAAAATCAGATTCTAGTTATGAAGAACATTATTTATTACATTTTATAATGATTTTAGGGACAAACGTCGAAACACAGCAAGAATTTCATGTCGAATTTGTTTAGAAGATTTCCAAACCAATATTAACATGTTATCAGAACCAATTGATGTGTACAACGATTGGATCGACTCCTGTGATGCTATTAATTAACACCTATCGCACAACATAGAAAAGTTTGATGTTCCTTTTTTACACAATTGACTTGTTGTATAAACTATATATTTGATATGTATCAACGATCTTTTTTAATCATGAAAGCAATGATTTTATTCAATAAAGTATGAATGATATTTTATACATATATATATACAATTAATAAATCTATGTAAAATGTTAATTCAAAGATACAACTGTTTTGTAGTAAAAAAAATTGTAAAGAATATAAATATATTACTAATGAAAACTTAAAAACGTTATTACATGAACGAAATCACATAACTATATCGAACTTTGATTGATTTATATTTATACCGATGCAGTTACACAAAATTTTATTATTATTCAATTAATAGATCGATAAACATTTTGAAACACGCGCTTGATCTGACTTTCTCGAGATAAGAAATGACGTTACTTTTAGCTACATACATACATTGTTCACCGATGTTTACCACTTAGCAGTAGATAAGCAAACGTGCACGTTACGATAATAGCCTTTAAACGAAATTCGAAGCAGTTTATCTGTATAGTGCATAAATTCTTTTGCTGAAGTACATGATAATTAATACTTTGCTCTTTTCTTTTACGAAAAGTGAAAATTGCATGTAAAATCGCAACTAATCTAGTTAATTATTTTCGAGCTGCGGTACGAGTATTTCATGAACTTGCATGACGTTCGTTTTGGTCGTCATCATCCAAAAATACCAAAAGACTTTATCGTATAAAGATCGATTAATGTGCAACCGTAAAAATTAAGCTGTTTAACTTAATATAAAATTGTGTTTGACATCGTTACGATGGATAAAACAGTAACAATAGGTGACGGATGGGAACTGCCACCTCTTCGTAGTTTATATGATTTTCTTTTGGAATCCTCACGTTTCCAACTGCCTAATTTTAGAGATTTCGAAAAATGGGGCAACAGAGTAGCGAATAATCTTGTGTATTATCAAACCAATTATCTTTATATGTCCATTGCTATTCTATTGGTTGTAGCGTAAGTATAATAATGATATTTATAAAATATATATATAATGAAGATTACAAAATTGTTTGATAATGTACATTAATTATTTAGATTGGTACATCCAATGAAGATGATTGTTGGTATATCGGCGCTTATGGCAGTATGGGCTGAATGTACTTATTTGTTTAGTGAAAAAGAATCCTTGCTTAAATTCAAAAGAACTTATCCTCAAGTTGCAGTAATTCTTACTATTATTTGTGCAGCTTATGTTCTTTATACTATAAACTCAGTCCTTCTTGTATTATTTGGTATTTTACTCTCATTTTGTGGTAAGTTTTTTTCTATATAAAGAACAGTACCAAGAAAGGTACTTTTCCATTATGGAGCTCCGAAATCAGTTATAAAAATCCAAAAATGATTGATTGATCTGTATTAATATATTATTAATATTTTAGTGACCTTTATACATGCATCTTTGAGATTAAGGAATGTGAAGAACAAATTTGTTAACAAGATTGAGGGTATGGGACTCAAGCGTACACCAATGGGAGTTGTCTTAAATTGTTTTGGTATGAAAGAAGAACTCTTTACATAAATTCGTAGTCAGATGTTAAAGAGAGATGTACTTTTGTGAATTGATTATGGATATATATAATATATATGTATATATATACATACATATATATGTTTTTGACATTTAAGTTATTCATTGTTACTCTTAGCTTTATTGCTCTTAAGAATAGAAACATTTTCTTCTATATATTCTAATGCTGAGATATAATACAAAATGCAATTAAAGTATTGTTATAGTTGTATAACAATATTGTGGCTTATGCAATATATAATTTCCTTTATAAATTTACTTACATTATAGATATAAATTAATATGTTAACGTTTTAAAGTGATTAATGTCAATAATTTACATATGATATATATGTATGACCTGTGATCTTGTAATATAAAGTTGAATTATTATTTATTAAATCTATATGGTAACCTTACATAATTATTAAAACCATATATTTCATTTATTTTGTATTTTAACATAGTTATATACATGATATGTATATTAAATATATTTTTATTCTCGAATATTAGAACCACATTTAACGTATAAAGATGACATTATATCACTAATGTTCAATATATGAAAAAAGAAACTATTTTATAATATTTTTATATGATATTAATTATTCTTCTATATTTCATGATCCTAGTTTGTATTAACACACCATTTATTGCTACATTTAATTTTCCATTACTTTCTCATTTCATTATGCAGAACATGAGACCGGTATAACTTTACGTACACAAACAACGTGTACTCACTCGGTTCATTAGTAATCTGCTTCATACAACAAATTGTAACAACGTTTGGCAGTGAATATGTGTCAATAATATTTGGATGCTGCCTAAAGTCACAAAAAAAATGCTTTTGGACAATTAGGTAAGAACTACATGTTTAAAATGTTTCGTAAATTTGCAAATAAAACTACATTATTAATTTACTTAAATAAGACCTAATTTAACATTCATTTATATATATATATATATACACACACACACACGTGTGTGTGTGTGTGTGTGTGTATCTATCTAAAGTAATAATTGTATTTAAGTATAGCGCTTCTCTGCAACGAACAGATGTAGATCATAAATTATCATAATTATTTAAGATATGGTGAATCATTTCAATATACAACTGACATACATTGTATTAAACATATATATAATTTTTATAGAGTAATATAATTAAATAATTCTATTTTATATAAATCTTACAACATATGTAAAATAAGGATAAAATAAGTACTATTCAATGTATAATTTTTTTATTTAAAAATATAAATAAAACTTTTGTTCGGTTTTTTAAAATTTCTGTATCGTTTATGTGAAGATACTTTGACGAATAGTTTAGAAAATTTTTAATACAAAATGTTCGAGGCTACCTTGGGAAACAAAAGATTATATGTAAGAATATATCGTAATAGTATAGGAAGCATACTGAATTGTCTCATATAAGAAGAAAAAAAAGGATACAAGTTTCTCAAAATTTATATTGATGCATTCTAATTCCTGTCATTAAAAATGAATGTTATAACTTTGTTGCTATTTGTATAAAAGTCAGTTAAACTGTCATGATTCATTCTATTGCACATTTAATTGAAAATATTTAACTGAAATGTGACTATTATAACGATAGTCGTGAATGTTTAGGACATTCACTTAATTGTTTAGGACAAATAGGATTATTACAATTACACATAAATGGTAATTGAATATGACAGTGTCTTTAATATATATATTAAGATACGCAATTTTTATCAAACTTATGATGTATTCCATAATGCAGTAGTTAAAAGGAAATACTTTGTCTATATTTTATCTGTAAAAAGCACAACATATTTCGTTACTTTAACATGTTACTTCATTTATTAAAATATATATGCATACTTACCTAACCAAAGATTACTATATCTTCGTTATAAATACTGTATTTGCTGGAAATAAAATCGTATCCGATAAATATATTTGTGGAGAAAGTGCTCCAATATTTGTTTTTGGAAACGGCACTAAATAAGTATGATCGGTTGATGAGTAACCCATACTCTTCATAGTATTTATGAAATCCTAAAAATATAAAGATTAATGTGTATTTTCATTTATCATTCCCAAGTACATTAGTATTAATAAGTTCATTGTATTTACCTCTATAGTATCTGTAGCAGACATTGATATTGTTTCTTTCTTACCATTTGGCAGTCTTAGACAAAGTCTTATAGCAGATGTACTATCTATATAAACAATATATATACTTTTATTAACCTCAAGAAATCACATGAATAAAAGGTAAAATGCAATAATTTTTTACCAGTTTTCTTGCTCAGAGTGGACTTCAGTTCGTATGATCGTTCGTCCTAGAATAATATATGTGAATTACTCGGAATTATACAATATTAAATTGTATATGCTAACTTAAATATACCTTTGAACTTTCTATTTCTTGTTTCTTTTCGTTTAATTCGCCCAATTCATTCATCCTTCTTTTTTTAGTTATGTTTCCAAATGTATCAGCTGACATACTTGTACTTGAACTTTGAATAGTTGTCATATCATTCTTAATATCTATATTACCTGTATAATAATTATGTAAACAAAATACTGACATTTAAGAAATGTCATATATTAGAAATACATTAAATGTTTGCTGTAATTGACAAGTACTGCTTACCTGAATCATTTAAATTATCAATAGTGTGCTTAAACGCTTTAACAGTAGTACTACTACTACTACAATCCTATAAATATATAAATACATGAAGAATCAAAGTATTGAAATTAACTATTTAATTAAAGAATGAAAAATCTTTTTCTACACATACTGATGAATTAGATGTAGAACTTCCTTCCGTTGCTGTGGCAGTACAATTATTCCATTTTTTAGAATGAATTGAGTTGCTTGATACACATTCTGGCGATGAGTGAGAGCTCAACATATCATTTAATGCAGACATTAAAGTATCTACTGTAATATGATTGTAAGTTTTCATACATTCTCCTGTTCTAGGATCTATTACTGCTAGATAAGGATATTCATATACATCATAAAGATGCACATAACGACTTCCATCACTTGTATTTGATAAAACCTATTTAAATTTGCAATAGTATTAAATGAGTCTTTTTCCTTTGATAAAATTTAAATACAAGTCCTTTATGATAACTTACTTGCCACAAAACAAAATGATCCTTTATAATTCCTTGAATCTGTTGATTAGACCATACATCTCTGTTAAGGATTTGGCAAGAAAATTCTTGAGGATTTTGAACATTTACAAGTAACCAACGGTTTAATGATTTAGCGTGTTCACGAGCTTCCATAAAGGAACCCAGGAAGAGAATACCACATGGTGGACGAAATAAATCTTCCAATCTTTTTGATTTGCAGTAGGATATTTGTTTAACACCAGCTACTTTCCGAGTCATTTCTTCTTCTTGTCGTTCTATATTAAGTACAAAATGATTATACTATATACATAATCACATTATGTATGTATATGTTATCTACTATTTAATAAGATGATATTCACGGGTTTCTACTGCAAAATCCCTAAATCTGTCAAATACATTAGTCGATAATCTTGGAAGGGAACATATTGGACCAGATGGCACTAATACTTCTTGCACAGGTAAAATAGGAGGTCTCACTTCTGGTTCCGGATCAGCCGTACATAATGGTTCAGGTGCTTGACTACCATCAAACATTAAACTTATTGCAGTTTCCACATTTCCATCAGCTAATGACAAATATTGGCGAGCTGTTGCCTCATTCTCCCCTTAAATTAACATAAAATAACTTATTAATGTAAGTTAAACATAAATTAATTTCAAATTAATTATTCATCAATTTTTTAGATAACAAGTCTCTGTACAAAACGGGAACAAGTTTCGTAATCCTTGATATGTTATTAGATTGGTATATTGCTTACCCGTCACTTCTATAAATTTTTCAATCAATTCTTGATCCATTATGACTCTAGATTATAGAAATGCATCAAATAAAATGCGTAAATATTAACATTATTCGTAGGTTACTAATTACACAACATTTCGAATTGTTTTCAAAGGTCTTCTATTTAAATCAGCCGTAAATTCAATAGTCCGTGATCTTTACATCCTAACGACGCGAAGTGTATATGAAGTTCTGATTTCAATACGAAAAAAGGTTGTCTGCACTGCGATTATGCGATTGTGCGATTCAACTCAACATTCAACCATTCCAAAGAGTAGAGTTGACGATTCCATTTTAACCACAGAGAAAATGTAAGATAGATCCAGTATCAATATATTTTTATGTCATATGATTTAAGGACAATATATGTTGTCAGTCATAGCATTATTTCTATGTGGCTACATAAGTAATAGGACGTATTACTGATGTTACATATATTACACTATTAATGATTGAAATCGAGCTTGAGTATGACTATGAAATTAAAGATTTAAAAAGGGATAAGCAAAAGCAAAAATTTTGTATAAGTTTACAACCTACCCTGTCATATCATTTTATAATAGTTTATACATTTTATCAGTTCTGCTTGATAGAAAAATAGTCACACTGCAAATAAAATTACTTCTAAATGTTATAATATATATGAACACTAACTTATTATTTATATAATATCAGATAATACATATATTGAGATCTATTTTATGTATTACAACATCTGATTTAGTAAGGCATAAAATAAATTCTGCTGTATGTTCACTGATCATTGTTATTTATTTTATATTATCAATATTCTTAAAATTTCTTAAATTTTGTTAAAGCTAAGGAGGTTCATAGTCAACGATTATGTTCCATGATGAGAAAACGAACCTGACACTAATTCAACATTTCAACTTTTGTTTAATATTTGTGATCAAAATTTCAAACAGAACCTTCTAAAGTTAAAGTGAAATACAAATTAAAGCATGTACTCATTTAGTTCGCTGTTTGCATTACTTATAATGACTAATCTGTATTCTAGCCCTTTTGAAGAGTTGTCTATACTCTTTCGAACAACAATTTTTTGCAACAACATATTTGAATTGAAACGTTGAAACAACTGATAACTTCTGAAAACGTATTAAACAAGGGTTTATTAGATAAATAATATTGAAAATATACCATGGAAGAATATTTAACCCTAATTCTTAAGCAAAAAGAGATACGAGTGAAGAGAAGAAAGCTTGCAAGTAAAAGCCGCTATTTTGCGTCTCTTTTTTCACACAATTTTAGTGATTCTCATAGCCAGGAACATGTTATTAATTACAACATTGCTCAATGTACTTTACAGGTTATTTTTATGATTTATATTAACTAACGTAGAAAAATGTTTATGTATTATTGTCGTAATTATTTAATTTTTATGCTTTTAGGATTTTGTTGATTGGGTTCACAATAGCATATATGTAAATATTCATTATCAACCCATAAGTCTTTCTTTGATAAAGTTTATGCAAGATAGACATTTTACAGGGTTATTGGATTTGTTACAGTTGAGCGCATTGTTTATAGTTGATGAATTAACAAATGATATTGTAAATATTATAGCGTTACAGTGGTTGTCACCACAGAAAGTAATCGATATATGGTTATTAGCAAAAGAGTTAAACATAAAGGCATTACAAGATATGTGTATGTCTGTCTGTTTAGATAGGTTTGAGGAAATCCCTGAAGCTATGCTTGTCAGATTAGCAGCAGATGATATTGTTCAGTTATTAAACAACGTTAATATAAGAGTTTCCTCAGAATCTTATTTGCACCATATAAGAAGTGAATGGATAAAGTATCATGGGGTAAATGATATTGATCTTCTATCATATTTATTTACATGTGATCTCTACAGTATATATAAAATATTTTAACTATAGAATTCAGATATTGCGCATATCAATCAAAGAAGGCAACTTAAGTTTATAAGGGGAACAGTTATCTATGAAACATTTGAAGATGATACAAGGATTGGGTATCTGTGTACTTGGGACGGTAATGTTTTAAATAAATGTGAACAATTAAAAAGTATTCAATATCCAGACAAATGGTTATTTGGGATGCAAGTTATTAGTAGAGGTGTGCTTCTATTAAGTTGCACATTTTATTAAGAAACACATTTCTAATTATTGAAAATATTGCTTTAGGTTTCAGTGTGTATACAGTTGGAGGAAACGTAGGTTTAGGAGGCACGCAATTTAATAACATTATTTCACGTTATTGCCTTCTATCTAAACAGTGGTATTATGAATCAACGTTGCCAGTTCCAAGAAGGCACATGATTGCTGTGTTTCTTGGCAACAAGTTGGTCATAGTTGGTGGTGTGGGAAGGCATAGATTAAAATTGTATTCAGTCAATATTCTTGATATTCACACAGGTTAAAAATTTACATTATGAAATGTAGAAAATATTCATGAAAGTTCCAATGTCAGTGCGTAAACAATTTCAGGTATTTGGAAAGCAGGCATGCATGTTCCTGAGAGTTTTACCAATATTCCTCCTCATTGTGTTCTGAATGGAAAATTGTATGTGTTGAAATCATCCGTTTATATTTATTATCCCACAGAAGATTATTGGCAAACTATATTGATACGCGATGATGATGTTATTGAAAGAATAGACGCATTTCTTACATGTAACACAATGCTACTTTTTGAAGGTAAATATTGCATAAAAGGATATTGATTTTTACTTTTATACTTACATTTAAAATAATCTCTAGTGGTTCTTATAGGAGATGAAGATTTAGACGAAATGATTCTTACGAGAATCGAGATTACAAAAGACGACTCTGTTTGTGAGAGAGGAGAATGTATAAAACGACCTATAGAGCATAAGGAACTAAGGACGTATGTTGTGAATGTAGAAAATAGTTGTGGGCTTCAGTTAAGATACCTGCAGTCCGCTAATATTGGTATAATGATGATAAATAATGTCAATCAACAAAATGGTAATCAATATTTGCATGTACACACGGAGGAGAGCGACGACTTCGTAGATTATATTTTTCCACGATATAGTTGCTTTAATATCATAGATCCTCGTACTTTGTACAATACCGCGTAATTAAAATCTTTTTACTTGAATACGATGTAAACGACTTTATGAAATCATAAGGGAAGTAGTGAAAGGAAAATAAAAAGTCCGCAACTTTTATATTTGAATTATCTTTTTTATTTATCTGAAATTTTGTAACGGAAGCAGTCTTCAAACATGTATAACACGACAGTGCGTACGATTACATGGAATAAGGATGTACATTTCGGCAGTGTTAAACTCTTTCGTATAGTCATCTAGCAAGATTGATTATTGTTGTTTTAACGTACGAGGATGCTGGTTATCCTGCTGAGTCTGACTATTGCGAAAGTTTCCTGTTTGTAATTTAACTGCCGTTTGTGTACGATTGTGTACTTAAAATATGCAAATTCGTGTATACAGCAAAGCTCGTATTAGCGTATAGATTGCGCGTGCTATCCGTATTGCTTAACACTTTAGATTCTTCTTTCATCATATAATGACATGATTTTTTTTTGCGATATGATAAGCACACAAAAAGTAAGGTAATTTACATATAGAATAGCATGAATACAATAGTTTTCCAATTTCTCTTTTATACACGAGCGTTACGTCGCCTATGACCGCGATTATTTTCAAGTCGCACATTTATATAGTTCATTTTTACAGTTTTTTTTTCTCGTATTGTTGTCCTCCCGATAATATTCTAGAAGCTGAAAAGAGACCCATTAAAACAAACAAATAATTAAATTTCGTGAATCGACATGCTATCTTAAAATACATGAGATATGAGGATGAGGGCGAAACTTTGGATGAGGTAAGGGAAAGAATAAAAACTGCATATATACACAGATCTTATCAAACCTTGTCGTGTTGCGTTTTGACACGCGCGAAATCAACGATTTCATTATTCGTTGGTAACGTTCAGGGCGAAAGCAGCATTGGTCTCACCCTTCTTGCCGATCGCGCGAGCAACATACTGACCCACGTCGCTGGCTGTACATGCTTTGATACGCAACTCGAACGATTTGTCACCGTCTGAACTGAAGAGGTACCTGCTACTAGATTCTGGGAGCGCTTTTCCGTCTTTCAACCACGTTACTGTATTGTTAAGAACAATAATAATGTAATGTAATGTAATAAATTTAATAAAATTTGGTAAAATTCTGTGCTTCGAATTCTCACGACTAAAATAAACGTTTTCGCTTACCTTTCAGAGGCGCGGTTTCAGTCTTGCATACGAATGTAACCGATTCGCCTTCGCTTACCGTTGCAGATTGTGGGAATGTCGTGAAGACTGGACTCTTCGGTTCCTCATTTGGAACTGAAAGCAAAATACTTTCGTAAATCACTGTATCAGATTTCATATCGATCGGTTATCGCCGTTTACTGCAAGCTAATAAAGTAAATTTTTGAAATGAATGTTAACGTACCAAGTACGTTTAATGTGCACGATGAGAAGCTCTCTCCTGCGTCATTGAATGCCTCGCAGGTATAAGTGCCAGAGTCTTCAGGGAAGATTTCGGCAATGTTCAGTTTATAGATATTAGCCTCGCTGCTGTACTGGAAGTCCTTGCTAGGTTTGATTTCCTTGTTGTTGTGAAGCCAGATTACGTCGAATTTCTTCGCGCCGATTATTCGACAGCTCAAGGTCACGGCTTCGCCATCCTTTACGAACATGCTGGTTACGTGATCTACGATCTTTGGAGGCTTGTCATCGGTCTTTTTCTTCGCGGCTGCATTTGCCATGGCTGCAACGAACATCTTTATTTAATTATTCCGCTCTTTTTCCGTAGTACGATTTCTCGTTTCACGAGTCATCCTGATTACTGTACTTACGTTTCACGGTTAATTTGCAGGAGGTAGTTACGGTGCCGATGCTATTGCTTGCTTGGCAAGTATATTCACCCTCATCCTCGGGGAATACCTCATTGATAACGAGAGTCGCGACTCCGCCTTTGTACTTCAAGCTCATAATTTCCGACGAACTCAGCGTCTAATGGAGGAGAAAGCTTATTAATTTTTATCCTTATAAGAAAATAGAATTGTATTACAAAGTGTGATAGAATTCACATTTATTATTACAAAGAGTTATAAAAGTATTGAATTTTATGAAATTTAAATATCAAAATTAGAGGATTGCGATAAGTTCTTCAGTTTTTTTAAATATGTATACATGTAAGTACTTGCCTTGCCATTCTTGGACCAGGTGACTTGTGGCTCTGGATCACCGTCAACGTTTACGTTAAGTTCCAGCTGTTCTCCATCATTGATAGTAAGATCGCTTAATTTTTTCGTGAATTGCGGTGCTCTCATCGAGTCATCCGGAGGATCTTTAAAGACGACATTTAAACAAAACCAGTTATTAGATAATTCACTTGGTCATACAGTTTTTCAGGTGGAAATAACATATTTAACGTACAGATTAATTCCTTTGTCGTACTTCTAGATCGAGATGGACTACCGGTGCTATCGAGTCCGTATTTCTTCGTATTTCGCTTCTCTGTGCTGGAGTCTGTAGCCTAGAGAAATTGTATGTATCAAGTATTTTTTTTTATCCATTACCAGTTTATCTATATCTTTTTTTTTATCAAATATTTAGTTTCTCTGCTCCTCTTACTTTATAGGAAGATGAACTCGAGGAATTGTATTTGTTGGTGGTAGAACTACTGTAATTATGACCCTGTGTGGTAGTGGAACTGTATCCACTGTATCCACCGGCTTTGTGTACCGTTATGATCGGAGGTGGTGCTGGTTTCAGCGGCTGCTCGATGAATTTTCGATCTACGAAATAATATTTCAGTTTCATACGTTGCTGTTAGATTAGATTTTCTCCAGCAAACGCAAAAAAGAACCGAGAAGTGCGACCATAAAGCCGAATGCCAGGAAGAATAAAGCAGTATCAAAATCATTTGCATGAAAAATTAAGCAAGATCGCTGATAATGGCAGTTTCGTGGGAGCTGGGGAATTGCAGTATAGTTTAGGAATAGCTAACTAGGGGCAAGATAATAAATTTTGTTATTATTTACAAATTATGGGTCACCAAAAGGTTGATCAATCATGTTTTCTTTACAAAGATGTCTCTCAATTTGGCAACGGATAGATAAGAAAAATGATATATCCGATTGACAAGAGTTCAGGTCAATTGCTACATATAAAAAATCTGTCTCTTTCGCATCGCGTGTCGATCTCATAAGTTAAAGATCTCTCTTCATTTTTTCAAAAATTGCATATTTGTTCAACGCTCGACAATTTCGTTACTCGTTCAGATATAGAAATTTTCATACATAGTATGATAGACATACGCTCCTACTTTTTGAGAATATATATATTTTTTTATATTAACCGTATTTGTCGCAAACTGACAGAGACTCTAAGGAGAAATCCGCAAAAACCGGAGGGGTAAAGTAGACTCAAAATTTTTTGCTACGCTCTTCAATATTTACATATTAACTATAATAAGCAATAAATTGATTTACTTGCAGTACTTGTTAAAAAAAAATTCCTAGAAACATTCCTACTTTTCGAGATATTACAATGATATTAAAGGAACAATGTTGTACAGGGATAATTTGTTTTAAGTAATTGTACAGGGATAAATTGCGTTTTACAATTAATGTACGATTAAGCGGGATTGCAAGCAAGAAGGGGCTATAGTCCAAAAATTGTACCTCCGGAATGTAGGAGGTCGTGCGCTAATTTCAGTTGCTCCTCTGTTTCTCCAGTGCCTACGAACAAATATATCATCAGTGTTTTACTATAAATACTAATAAAAGTGTAAGTAGAAATACAATAATATAGGTATACATTTTGTATCAAGTGAAAAAGAAGCATCTTTTTTAACACGTGTCACCAAGAAAAAACTTTCAATTTATAGTCGATAGTCGTCATACGATGAATGAAAATATTTTGTGGAATATAATGGTACAAAATTAATTATGCAGGGTGGTTCTTTCATCCTGGGTTCCTAAGTGTTCTAATTACTCTCATTGATACAAAATATTGTATTGTAAATATTCTGTTGGCTCTGGACAACAAATATTGTGATTCACGATTTTTTCTTAGATACCGTTTTTTTTTCAAGATTTCAAGCTCATCGTTATTCTTTGAAGATCGCAACTAAGAAATTAACGAATCACACTGTACATTTCACTGTATATTTCCGTGTGAATGGAAAGTCATTGGAAATCAGTTCTACGGTGAACGTGTTAAATTACCTTCAACGATGACTACGCAGCTGGTTTCATCCTTTCCATGTTTGTTCGTCGCGATACAACGATATTTGCCGCTGTCTTCCGGTTTGCAGTCGATGATTTCCATCGTGACGACACCGTCCGAGTTTGTCATCGCGTAGTGATGCTTGGAGAGCTCCTCCCTGTCTTTGTACCATTTCACCGTCGGTGGTGGATTGCCAGCGAGACAGCAAAGGAGTTTGCACGTTTGTCTGACTTGAATGACACGTGGTCGAAGGAGGAAGGTGAAGCTTGGCGCCGATTCGATCGTCTCCAACCAGACATTATAACCGAGCGGTTCTCTCCTTCGGACTGGATGCAGTTCTGGTCTGTATTTTGGAATCTCCTTAGGTAGCGCTGAAAATAAAAAACGATGACTCTTTTAGCGTAATTAACCTGACCAAAGAGAAGGAAAATAGAAACTCGCAGGGATATTTGTAGTTAGGTAAATAAGATTTGCATTAATCAAGTGATATCAAGTTGCTCGAATTCGGACAATTTGACCAGTTCGACGGAGATTTAAGGTTCCATACGTACGTTGCACGTTCAGGAAAACGACCTCTTCTCTGTAGCCGTAATGATTCTCTGCCCTGATCACGTACTCTCCTCTGTCCTCTAGTTTCACTCTGTTGATGATGAACGTGTAATCATCGCCGTGATATCGTTTCATGAATTTCACGGATTGTCTGAGTTCCTGATTGTTGTGGAACCACGTGAGAGTGGGAGAGGCGATCGCGATTACGCGACACGTGAACTTCACGCTCTGTCCTTCGTAGGCAAACGCACTCGTCGGTTTAATGACGAATCTAGGCGCCGCTTGTCGCCGATCTGTATAGAAATTTAAAATGTTACTTGCGCAAATGAAATCTTATTTTCTTGAAAATAAAATTTCGGAAGCTAAGGAACATCATCCCTTACCGAACGAGGAATCGTAGATCTTGTACTTTTCGATCAACAATTTTCTGAGCGAAGAATATTCGGCTAGCCGTCCAATAGGAAGAACGTATTTGTCCCAGTTCTCGTATTTGGCTCGCAGTCTGTCTCTGAAGTTCAGGTATCGACTGGTTGCAATTGGTGTTGTACGGTTGCTGTGATCACCGGTTAACCATGGATGAAGGAGACATTCATGGGCAGTCATACGTTTCCTAAATGCAAACAACATCTCATTAATGTGTAACTCTATATCTACAATGTATGCATTGAATTTGTCGAACGATATTATCAACACATTTTAAGCGACAACGTACTCTTTGTTCTTGACGAGCAACCGCCTAATGAAGTCCTTGCCTTCTTCGGAGACGTCGCGGAACGCTTCTTCGTCAAAGTCCCAGTCGCAGGCCTTAACGTTCTTCAGAGTTTCGATGTCGTTGTCTCCGGCAAACGGCGAAAGTCCGCTCAATCTGTACAATTAGTTTTAATTAGATCAACCAGTTAACTAAGTGATTTGTTAGTAGTAGTTAATAGTAGTAATCAGTTATGTAGATGCTAGCAATCTTCGTTTTTCAAAATGACTAGCGTAACTTGGGTTTTCTTTGATTCATTAATTTTCCTGATTATCTTTTCAGGTTAATCGAAGGGGTTCGTAGGCATATTTGACTCAAATAAACGAAACTTACAAAACGTAGGCCAGAACACCGCAAGCCCACATGTCCGTGTAGAAACCAACAGGTTCGCGTTCGACGATTTCAGGCGCAGCAAATTCTGCAGTGCCGGTACTGATCTTCACCACTTCGTTAGGATCGAGCTTCGTAGCTAAACCAAAATCGATCAGTTTGACATTGGTGCTGTTGCGTGTCTGGCACATGATGTTCTCAGGTTTGATGTCTGAAAAAGAGAAACAATAGATTTAATTAATTTTCTTCTTCTCCCTTTTCCTTATTTCTAATGTAAGTAGAGACGAATCGATTGGTGGACCGACAACTTATGTAATCGAAGTTCATATAGTACGAGTTCACTGAGCTTCTCCATTGCTAATGATTTTTCTTCAATTCGTTCGTATAATTACCTAGATGTATAATATTTTTCTCGTGCATATGTTTCACAGCTTCGCAGATCTGTCTCATATAGTTGATAACTTCAGCCTCGGACATAGTGTAACCTTCCGCTGTGATTCTCTCGAAGAGTTCACCACCGGACAAGCTGAACGAAGGAAATGAGATTAGAAATTGAAGCAAAAACAGCAAAGCTTGAACAGCTAAGCCTGATCGTTATGATCGTAGATCAAGATATGCAGGTGTACTTACAACTCGAAGATCAAGACCATCTCGTCATCGTCCTCGAACGCGTCATGAAGATTGATCAACTTGGGATGATGCAGTTGATTCATTATATCGATTTCCTTCCTGATAAGTTCCTTTTCCATTGCATGAGACACAGGGATAAACTTAGCCGCGAATATGTTTCCAGTAGCTCTCTCGCGACAACGATGGACCACACCAAACGCGCCAGTTCCAATCTCTTCAAGAATATCGTATCTGTCATACACCGAGATGTGTTTAATTTCAACCGGCTGTGGAACGTATTTGCTATAGATATCGAACACGAATTGATCGTAATCTCGTGGCTTCTCGTCGCTTCGTCCGCGGATCTTCTTGCCCGTCTCATCCACCTTGTATTCTTTCTGTTTGAATTCCCTCTTGATCGTTCCCTTTGTCGTGATCAACGGCGTGACTTCACTCGGGTCAGATCTTCCGTAAATGTTCTCAGCGCAAATTCGGAAGTCGTATTGATGTCCAGGACTGAGGCCAGTAACCGCCATAGAGCAGAATCTGGTGTTGCCGACTCTGATCCAGCTGGTCATCGGATGTTCGCGTTTTTCGACAAGGTAATTAGTGATGTTGCTACCACCGTCCCAAACTGGTGGTTTCCAGGTCAGAGCCAACGAGTCGTGACCAATATTGTCCACCTGTGGGAATCTCGGAGGATCTGGTCTGTCGCTGATTTGGATCTTGATGATCGCTGTGTCTTGACCCATGTCGTTCTCAGCAGTGATTCGATAAGGTCCTGAATCGATACGGCTACCATCTATGATGGTAAGAACAGCGTGTCTTTCCTTCACCTCCACGGTGTAGTGTCCGCCAGATTCGATCGTCTCTCCTTCTCTGACCCAGGTGATCTTTGGTTTCGGATATCCGGTGAATGGAATCTTTATAACCACGTTGACACCTTTGTCGAAGAATGCGGTGTCTCTGAACCTCGGCGGTACGTTCAATTTCGGTGGTGTCTTGATCAGAAGTTCGCCCTTAGTCGATTTGACGCCGCATTTGTTCACAGCGCGGCAGACGTATTCATCCGCGTCCTCTCCAAACACATCGTGGATGATCAGGTTGTGCGTGTCGCCCTCCGAATATATGTTGTATCGAGATCCACTGACGATCTCGCGAGCTCCCTTGAACCACGTGATAGTGGGTTTTGGGATACCAACGATCTTGCACTGGAAGTGAGCATTGTGGTTCTGCACGCAGCTGACCTTGTGCAAAGGTAGAATCACTTCCGGAGCTTTGGCTGCCTGAGGGTCGGTGATCTTCACGGAAGTCGAGGCCTTCGATTCTGGTCCGAGACCAGCAGCGTTTTGAGCGAACACACGGAACTCGTATTGCCTTCCTTCGATCAGGTTGCTGATGTTGATTTGAGTGGGTAGACAAATAACGACGTTCACGCGCTGCCAGGCTTGGCTGCCGACTTCGCGCTTGTCGATCCAGTAGCCTTGTATCTTCGAGCCACCGTCCGATTCTGGTTTCTCCCACGAGAGATTTACGAAGTCTCCGCCAACCTCGGTGACCTTTGGCGTTCCTGGAGGGCCAGGAGGATCGAATGGCGCCTTGGCCTTGATAGGATTGGTTCCCTCCAGCGGAGGTCCCATTCCGTTGTCGTTTACGGCCATCACGCGGAACAGGTACTCTTGTCCTTCGGTCAGACCTTGTACCATGAAGGAACAATCCTTGCAGAAGGAGGAAACGATGATCCAGTGAGTGTGACTGACGTCGCGACGTTCGACGACGTAATGAGTGACGCGAAGACCACCGTCGTACTTAGGAGGTCGCCAGGTCAGAGTGCAAGTGTGTTTATCGATATCTGTGACGTCGAGAGGTTCGGTCGGTGGTCCAGGTAGTCCAGTAATGTACACGTTGAACGAACCACTGACGCTACCGCTGTCGTTCGAGATCGAAAGATCGTATACTCCAGCATCGTCTTTCTGAATGTCCTTGATGAAGATGATGAGGTATTCGTCGAACACGGTGTACTTGATGTGACTCGTTTCCACCACCTTGCGACCGTCTTTCTTTAGAGTAATATCCATCGGTTGGTCGCCACTGTAGTAGATCTTGATCTTCGTGTTGTCGTTTTCAGCCAGGTACAGGGTATCTGGCATGCGCTCGATACGAGGCGGGGAACCGATCTTTAATCGACCTGTAGTCGTAGCCAGACCCAGTGGATTTGAGATCTGACAGCTGTAGTCGCCGTCGTCTGCGTCCGTGACTTCGGATATGACGAGCCTGTAGATTCCGTCGAACGCTTCCGTGCGGAAACGACCGCCGATCGTGATCTCTCTGCCATTCTTCAGCCACCTAGAATTCGTAAAATCCAATTAAACGCAGCGTTCGATATGAAACGAAAAATAGCGCGTCGAATTGAAGGGTAGGAAACGCTTTAAAGAAACAAACCTTGCGGTCGGTTGTGGTTTTCCCGTGGCCTCGCATTCGAGGACCAGAGTTTTGCCGAGCGGTACGTTCGTGCTGATTGGCAGAGTTCTGACGAATTCTGGCTTCTCGCCACCTTCCACCTCGCAGATCTTGACGGGCGTGGTGCAGGAACTTGGTTCGGATCTTCCCGCAGCGTTCACCGCGAAGATTCGGAATTCGTAATCTCCCCGTTCGATCAGATGTAGAACAGTGTACTCTGTGTCGGTGACGTTGTATTCGTTGCATTTTGCCCAAAGCGCGCTTCCGACTTCGCGTTTCTCGATCACGTAACCGGTAATGCGGCTGCCTCCGTCGGAAATCGGAGCTTCCCACTTGAGATCGACGTAGTTCTTGCCAACCTTCACGACCTGTGGCGTGCCTGGTGGTGAAGGCACGTTGAATTTGCTCTTCAGTTTGAACGGTGCCGATGGCGCGCTAGGTTTGCTGAAGCCAGCTGCGTTCTTTGCGCGTATTCTAAACTCGTATTCGTGTCCGCTCAGTAAATTGTAACAAATGTAGGTGGTGTCTTTGACCAGGTAGTCGTTCGCCACTCTCCATGTGGCATCGTCCGCAGGATCGCGGAATTCGATCTTGTAACCCTAAAGAGAAGAAGAGCAATCGATTGATTTTTGTTTTATTTTGAATATAGAGCGGAATCTCGATCATTCGACTTTATTGCAACCGAGGCAATTCAGATCTATCGAGATCCACAACTGCTCCGAATGTTTTAGAAAGCGACAAATTAACCGGAGAAACTGTTTCAATTTTTCCTACTGTCTTTCGTCAACTTTTACCGTGTGATTTACTCATCATAGTTCATTTCCATCTTAAGAGATCTACAAGTAATGATGTCATTAATATACACACCTGAATACGAGATCCACCATCGGATATTGGACGGGTCCATACAACGGTCGCGTTCGACGTATCCCAATCGATAACACGTGGTTGTCCAGGAGGTTCGGGCACCGTGAATGGGAATTTCGCGGTAATCGGTTCATCAGCTTGCAATGGTTCCGATATTCCGTACTGGTTCTCCGCACGGACACGGAAGTTATACGTACGGTTGGGTTCAAGACCGATTACGTCGTAATGAGTGTTTCTTACAAAACTGCTGAGTTTCACCCAATACTGAAATCATTCAACATGACATTTTAGAATTAAACAGAGAAAAAGAAGGAAATCATTCGATGTGTAATCTAATAGTTACATAGTTGTACGCGTATAGATAACATTTCAAAAATTTATTTAGAGAAAAAGGAGAAGAAAAGAAGAAAGAGAAGCTACTTACGCCAGCCGGATCCAGTTTTTCAACGACGTAATTTGTAACGGGTGAGCCACCATCGTCGAACGGAGGTTTCCAAGATAACGTGCAAGTTTCAGGAGTGATATCAGAAATATCAAGTGGTCCTTGCGGTGGAGATGGTTTGTCTACGAATATAATCAGTCGTCAAGTACTTCGCTTCTAAAGTTTCTTTTAGCATAATTAAACAATTATAACTGCTTAAAACAATTATAGTTGCAGACGCAATAAAACCATTCGTAGTGACGATAGCTTAATTATTTTGAACAAGGTATTTGCGTGAAAATAAAAGGAGCTTTCAGGCTAGTGCTTACCTACAACGAGAACCTTGCACGAAGCAGAATCAGTGCCGACAGTGTTCGTAAGGTAGATCGTGTACGTTCCAGTATCGGATCTCTTGGCTTTCTTGTTAATGAATTGTGAGGCGACATCCGTCGTATCGAATTTGATTCTTTCGCCTGTAAGGACCTCCTCGCCGTTGATGGACCAGCTTGGTCTTGGTTTTGGATTCGCTGTGTAAGGAACGGTTATCGTGAACGGTTCTCCGGCAATCACAGTCATGTCACGGATGCTGAGGTCGGACGTGATCTTTGGTGGGACTGAAATAAATTCGAGTAAAATCATAATCACAACAGTTTGATATCACTTAGAGCATGTTTCATTTTTAATAGCGAGATTATAGATTTTTAACTCTACGCATTCTTAAGTAAAATTACCGTTATATAAATAAAATATGTCTAAGAGCAAATGCTTTGAATACTTACATGGTGGTGCACTGGCTCTAATCACGTCAGAGTTGGAACTCCATGGTCCTCGTCCAGCAGCATTCTCTGCCGCGACGCGGAATTCATAATCGTGATTTTCTATCAGACCAGTTACTCTATAAAATTTCAAACAGTTCAAGTTTTTCAATTTGTTCCTCATAATCGAGTATAATTTTAATCGTTCGAAGACACGAAGCAAGCTTTACCTATAAGTAGTCTCATGAACGAGAGATGGTGTGGCTTTCGTCCATTTGTCTTCGCTCAACAGACGCTTCTCGATGACATAACCAAGGATAGGTGAACCTCCATCGTGACGAGGTTTGGTCCAAGTAATAGTAATGCTATCCTCTGTCGTTTCAACGCCTTTCGGAGTTCCAGGTGCTCCAGGTGGATCGAATGGATGCCTGGCCTTGATCGGATCCATCGTGGTTACAGGATCCGAGGTACCGTATTGATTTTCAGCCATCACGCGGAATTCGTACATGTTTCCGACTGTTAGATTCCTTACTCGACAGAACGGTGTCGTCACATAGCTGCTCACCTGTTGTAACAAAATAAGAAAGTTAATAAAGAAGGATCTCGAAGAATTTTTTTCAAGGAACCGCATTAAACGCCTCATGATTCAGTTAATTCTAATAATTTTCATTTTAATAAATGGTAAATATTTTTGAATCATTAGACAGATGCAGAGAAGCCGATACCAAAAAGTCTTACGATTCCTTTCGAAAGAAATCTTATAGTATACCTGAAAAGCTCTGCTTTAGATTACAAACCTTGGACCACGTGCCCCTTGATTCTCGTCTCTCAACGACGTAGTTGGTGATATCGGCGCCTCCATTGTCTTTCGGTGGGTTCCAGAACAGCGTGAGAGCATCTCCTCCAAATTCATCAGCGTGAAGATTCACAGGTGGATTTGGACGGTCCAGAACCTTAACGTTCACCGTGGCGGTGTCGAAGCCGGAAGAGTTGCGTAACTGTAGACGGTACTGTCCACCGTCCGAACGTTTCGCATTCTTTACCACAAGACTGTGGAAGAAATTATACGCGATATTTATCCATGTTACTAATTATCATATGTTGTCTTTTGTCTGTTACAGGTAAGCAACGTTTCAATGATATTCTTCAGAATATGACATCAAGTAGCTAACGAACTGATTACACAATTGAATAGTTAACAAACATACCTAGCATAGTCGTCGCCCAATTGTTGATGTACACGCGGATCTGTCTCATCCTTGATAACATCGTTAGCAAACCATGTGGCAGTGGGTTTGGGGAAGCCAATGTAAGGCACGTGAATGGAGAAGTCTTCACCAGCGCGAACAGTGATGTCGCGAACTCCTCCGAGGTCCATGACAGGTTTGTTGGGTTGTTCCTCGATAACGATGGGATTACTTGGTCTGCTTGGATCGCTATTACCGACATCGTTCACTGCGATCACTCTGAAGAGGTACTCCTCGCCTTCGGTGAGTTTCGGTACCGTGTACACGTTGGTCGGTATCAGAGCGCCATTAACGTCGTCCCATTCGTCCTGACCTCTCTGCTTCATTTGGACAATGTAGCCTCTGATCTTAGCACCACCGTCGCTACGTGGTGGTCGCCAGCTCAACGTTACAGAATCTTTCGTTATCCTGTCAGGTTTCGGTGGTTCGGGAGCATCAGGACGCACTAAAATACATTGGATGATCAGAATATGAGAACAATCGCTAATCTTTCGACGATCTGTCGAAACATCGTGACCGTAGCGGGAAAGAGACGAGTAAGCATTTTGTTATACTTACAACGTTGATGTCCAGCAGTAATAGGTTCAGTCGGTTTACTGGGTTTACCAGGTCCAGCTTCATTGACGGCAATAACTCTGAATTCGTATTTAGATCCTTCGTGAAGATCTTGCACCGTGAATGTCGTATTCGGAGTTGGATAGTTGTTGACTTTGAGCCATTCGCCACCCCGTTCTCGTCTTTCCACGTAATATCCTGTCGACAGGAGAATTAATCGGTAAATTTATACATAAATTAATATACATACAGTAATAATTTAACAGAATGTAATTTAATTAGAAAATTACAAACAGGAGGAGCAGATGGAATTTGTCTTTTATTAGAGATGTCGTGGAATACTAGAAGGCGATTTTGAAAGCACGAAAATGCTCCTAATATGCAAAACTGTAGAAAATATCCAAAATAGTATACTCGTTATGATATTTAACAAATGAAACAGACCTCTATTTTGATCACTTTCTTTAGTTATATTATATTTAGTTATATGGAAGAAAAGAAAAGTATGACGTCTCACCGGTAATAGGCTTGCCACCAGTATTGAGTGGTGGATTCCACAAAAGACTACAGCTGTTGGGTGTGTATCCAAGGATTTCGGGTTGACTAGGTGCGTCTGGTGGATCGTATGGACTCTTGGCGACGACTGGTTTGCCTTCCAGTGGTTCAGACACACCGTACATATTTTCAGCTCGCACTCTGAATACGTATTTCTTGCCCTCGGTAAGACCTTTGGCGGTGTAGCTTGTTCTTGGACAGTATCCTGGTGTTTGACGCCAGTTATCGGCTCCATACTCAGATACCTCAACGATGTAGTTGGTGACGTCGGATCCACCATCATCCAGAGGTTTGTTCCAGGATAAGGACACAGACTCCTGCGTGGTGCCAGTGTATTGTAGGGGACCTTGAGGTGGTCCTGGTCTATCGACCACGATAACCTCGATGTCGGCTGAATCTTTTCCATGCTCGTTCGTCGCTGTGACTGTGTAAATACCGCCATCTTCTCGGACCGATTTTTCGACCAACAAATTCGTGCGATCGCTCTTGGTTTCGGTCTGAAAGTTATTAGAAAATTAACGGTTGAGATATTACTGATTTGCATGAGTCGATACTCATACGCAACAGATCTGAAGCTATAAACCATTTGCTTACCGATATTCGAAGAGTTTCGAGGAGAGGCCTCGAGTCTTTGGTCCATTCGATAGTGGGAGTTGGCGCTCCGGACAATGGAATGTTAACATTGATGGGTTCTCCGGCACGCACCTTGATCTTGCGTCCAATCAGCGCGTCCAAATTCAATTTCGGTTTCTCTTTCATCGGTTTCGCGATGAATACGGAGGACGTGTCGCTAGGTTTGCCCGCGCCAGCGGCGTTTATAGCAGTTACTCGGTATTCGTATTGATGACCTTCGGTCACATGGTCGTCATAATATTCAGCATATCTCGCTGGCTCTTTGGTCAATTTCAACCAGCGGCCAGTTGCACGATCGCGTCGTTCCACGTCGTAACCGATGATCTTCGATCCACCGTTGCTGATCGGTGCCAACCATTTGATCTTGATGTGGTCTTTGTCCGCGTCGACACATTCTGGCTTTCCAGGTTGTCCAGGTACAACTGAATAGAACAAACAATTTGTTAGGGTTTTCCAGTAAATATAGCCAGCAAGTGTAATAATACTTATGAGCCGTAGTATACATATCCGATGATAGAATAGAGAATTTACCGAATTGGTTCTTGGCGACGATCGAGTGATCTGTAGTCAAAGGATCTGAGCGGCCTTGAAGATTCTCCGCGCATACCCTGAATTCGTAAGTCGTACCTTCCAGCAATCTCGGTACTGTGGCGTGATTATACTTGGGATTGACGTGAGTGACAGCTGGTACCCAGCCACCACCATGGGTCAAGTCACGTTTCTCGATTACGTATCCACTAAAAAGGATCGCAAAAAGCGTTGTATTATTTTACGCTTATCACTTTGTTTCGTGAAATCGTTAATTTAAGACGTCGGTACTCACGTGATTTCGCTACCACCGTTATCTTTAGGTGGTTTCCACGACAAGGTAACCGACTGGCTTGTGATTTCTTCGTACTGCAGAGGACCTTCTGGTGGGCCAGGTCTGTCGAGAACGATAACTTGGAAGCTACCTTCGTCTATTCCGCTGCTATTCTTCAACAACAAGTGATACAATCCGGAATCGGATCTTTGAGCGTTAACAGTGTGAACAATGGTGTGATAACCGATCGACGTAACAGTTGTTCTATCGGTGGTCAGTAGATCGCGACTTCCAACTGTCCAGGTAACCTCCGGAGTTGGTTCACCGACGAAGTCGATGTCGACGTGGAAGATGAGACCAGCCTTGATTCGAATATCTTGCAAAGGCGTCTTGATCTTTGGAGCCACTAAAATATTGAATTATTTTATTAATAAAATGTTTGGATAGTTCGTAGTAATAATTAAGTTGTGCATGTTTATGCAAATTTACATTTTTACGAATACATAGAAATTGAATATAAATAGAGATTTGCTTCATTCTTTACGTATGTATTATAAAAAATACTTAATAACAATGCATGATCATCCGTAATCGAGAAATAACGAGTACAGTAAAAATATGCTCACAGTAACGAGGTTTGGCAGTGATGAGATCGCTCGGCTCTGATGGCTCTGATTGTCCAGCAGCGTTAACAGCAATTACACGGAATTCGTATTCTTGTCCTTCCGTTAAGTCAGGAACAGTTGTATTTGTCTGATTTGGTGGAACGTGAACCGCGTTGACCCAGTATGGACTACCCTTTTCTTTCTTCTGAACGATGTATTCTGTAATGGGAGAACCACCATCGCTGCTTGGTGCTGGCCATTGCAGATCGACGTGATCTCTGTCCCAGTCTGTGATCTGTGGTCTTCCAGGAGCGTCGGGTTCGTCTACAAATACGAAATCGTATTTCTATTAGATCTGTACACTTCTTGTTAACTTTTAGAATGTGATTTCTCCTTGTTTTTCTTGTAATTTAAATCGTTCCGTTTTTTAAGGAATTTGCTACTATAATTGATGTTTGACAGGCCATTCTTTATCATACAAATAATTAGAAATCTTTGAATCGTTCATAGTCGAACACTAACCGAACAAATTCTTAGCGATGATACTCTTTGGTGCTTCGAGAGGATCGGATTCTCCAATGGTATTGACAGCTTTCACACGGAAGAGATACTCCTTGCGATGCGTCAGTCGCGCTACTTCGTGGCTCAATATCGTGCTCATGCCAGCATCGGACCAAGTGCCTCGCGACAGATCCATTTTTTCGATAATATAGTGCAATATGGGGCTGCCACCATCGTCCAATGGATGGCCCCAAGCCAAGTGACAACCTTCCTTGGTGATTTTGCTGATCTCGAGCGGTTTCTGTGGTGGTGATGGCCTATCGAGGACGGTGACTCTGGCGCTTGAACTGAAACATTTTATTTCTCTTTATCTAACTATACTAAACTAAATAGAAGTTCGTTATAGAGATGGTATAAACGGGGTCCTACTACACTCAAGTTCTACTTTGTCATAAAAATTTGAATTTACATAAACACCTACAGTCTAGTTATCATAGATTCGAAATTACCTGAATTTCCCGTGCTCGTTCTCCAAAGTGAGAGCGTAACGGCCAGTGTCAGAGCGAACAGAGAATGGAATCTCAAAGGTGGTTTCGGTATGAGTAGTGTACATTTCATGGCGAGAGTCGGCCATAATCACCTCTCCGTCCAGGGTCCAAGTGGCCGTAGGTTTAGGCGATGCTTGGATAGGGATGATGTAGCTAATCTTCTGTCCAGCTCGAACAACCAAGTCGCTCAGTGCATGTGGATCAAAGGATGGAGCAACTGTAAGGAAAATGATCATACATATACTCTTTGTTCAAAAGATAAACTTAAGTAAAGTTAAATAAAATTATATTTGAACGTTGTGTTTAAGTTTGAAAGTACGTTTTACACAGAAAAAAGAAGAAGAAAGGAATTCTTTACTCACGGAAACGTGGTTTTGCAACGATAGGGGAAGAAGCTTCGGATGGCTCGCCAGGACCAGCTTTATTAACAGCGATGACCCTAAACTCATATTCTTGTCCTTCAACAAGATCTGGTACCCTGGCGCTAGTTTTAGTTCCATCGATTTCCAAAGCCTTCTCCCACGTGCCAAAACGAGGTTTCTTTTCGATGATATATCCCGTAATAGGTGAACCACCATCTTTTTTCGGTCGTGTCCATTCCAAGTCGACGTGATCCTTGTCCCAATCAGTGGCAACAGGTGTTCCAGGTTTGTCAGGCTTGTCGTAGGGATCTTTCGCAGTAATGGTATCCATACCAGTGAGCGGCAACGATTCACCTTGCTTGTTTACCGCACGCACACGGAACTGATAGTCGTGGCCTTCGATCAGGTGATCCACGTGTGCATAAGTCGAGGAAGCTTCCGCTACTGGTACCCATCTCATGTTCTCTGTATCCATTTTCTCCACCTGGTAATATAGAATTTCTGAACCACCATCGTCTTTCGGTGGGCGCCATTTCAGATCGCAACCGTTCTTTGTCACGTTGTCGATCTTTAAAGGTCCTTCCGGTGGTGCTGGAATGTCGAGGACGTTCACAGTTAAGGTAGCAGTGTCTTTGCCGTTGATGTTCTTCGCTTCCAGAGTGTACACGCCTGCATCGGAACGTTTCGCTTCGATCACACGAACTTTGGTGTTGTAGTCTTCGTTTATGATCTTGATGCGATCGCTTGGCACGAGTACCGTGCCCTTCAGCGACCATTGTTTGGTTGGTGGCGGTTCGCCGATTACAGGAACGTCGAAGTCGTAGAAGCCACCGGCTTTTACTTTTACGTCCAGCATGTACTTCCTGTCGATCTTCGGTGCAACTGAAAATGGACATTTTTTTTATCGACATATATACCTTTGATGAGGGGGGAGGGAAAGAAAAGAGATAAAGAGATAATTACGGTTCTTAGGTCGAGCCAAGTGAGATTTAGAAGCGTCAGAGGGTTCACCGGGGCCAGCTTTGTTAACAGCCCTAACGCGGAATTCATAATGCGTGCCCTCCACGAGATCGGGCACTCTTCCACGATTTACGTCACCCTCGACTTCTGCGCATTTCTCCCAGGTAGGACTATATTTGTCTCGTTTCTCTATGATGTAACCAGTAATAGGTGAACCACCATCTTCTTGCGGACGATCCCATTGAAGTTCGACAAAGTCCGAGTCGTAGTCGCTGACGGTCGGAGTGCCAGGTTTTCCCGGCTCGTCTAAAGATAATAATTATGTTTAATAAAAGAAGCGATCCAAGGTATAACGAGATTGTAGATCTTTACGCAAATTTATATCCTTATAAAAACAAGTAAAGAAATAAGATCTGAATAGAGATTTGTTTTGTAGCGGCACATGAGTCATAGCACGATTCGGATCGAGAGCGACTCGTGTTATTGTTTTGCCTCGGGGTATTGACACTGTTCCGATGTACGAGATTTAGAAGTAAACAAACTCCGGACAAAACAATATCGCCGCTACGTACAATCGGCAACCAGAGTCGAATTCAAACTTTCCGGGATAAATAGACGAACAAACTCTCTAGGACAGTCATTATTCATTATCAGCCAGCGATGATTACGACATATTATACTAACTCTGTATTTTTGTATTCAGAGTGATTTTTAAATATATCTGACTATCACATTTCGTCATTTAAAGCAACACGTTTGATATCCACCACAGTTTCTCCTATTAAAAATTTCGACGAGAATTCTACATTGGATATTTGAGATATTTTTTAATATCATACCATTTATATAGAAAATAATACAAGACTTAATATACTTGAATCTAATCAATTGATATATAAACGGTACAATAAAGACAAAGTACAAGTACTTATTGTAGCCACTATGAATGAATTTCTCATGGAACGACCTAATATTTCTTTACTTCTATTCATGAGATTACGAACCTGCGCAAAATATCGAATGAAAGCTCATACTCACCGAATGGATTCTTCGCTTCGATGCCCTGCATAGCCGTGAGCGGTTCTGATTTGCCTTGCTTATTAACCGCGCGGACTCTGAACTTGTACTTATGACCTGGCGTAAGCCCTTCAACATCCAACGAGGTCTGCGGTCCGTCCGTCTCTCCTGCAGGTACCCAGCGACCAGTCGCTTCGTCCATCTTTTCCACGACGTATTTGTCGATTGGTTGGCCACCGTCGTCTTCCGGTGGTTTCCACGATAATTTGCATCCTTCCGCGTGCACGTCAGATGCTCTGAGCGGTCCTTGAGGTGGACTCGGTTTGTCCAGAACCGTTACCTTGACAACTGCTTCGTCCATGCCATTTATATTCTCGGCAGTGATGGTGTATCTTCCAGATTCCGCTCTGGTAGCATTTCTGACGCTGAGAGTCGTGTTGTAATCCACGTGTTTTACTTTTATACGCTCTGTCGGTCGCACCTCGCGTTTTCCCAACATCCATTTCGTGGTTGGAGGAGGTTCACCCGAAACCTTCACGTCGAAGCTGAAGTTCTGACCAGCTTTGATTCTGACCTCTACCAAATTCGTACGATCGATCTTCGGTGCAAGGTTTCGCGGTTTGGCAATGATCGTTGGCGTCGGATCCGAAGGTTCGCCAGGGCCAGCCTTGTTTACGGCTCGCACGCGGAACTCGTAAGGCTGGCCTTCTATCAAGTCAGGGACAGTGGCTGACGTTTCATCCGCTGGTACCTCTATGGCCTTCTCCCATTCGCCGTATTTGTCTTTCTTCTCGATTATGTAGCCAGTAATAGGCGAGCCACCGTCGTTCGCTGGCGGTGTCCATGCGAGATCGACGTGGTCCTTGTCCCAATCGGTAACACGCAGATCGCCTGGTTTATCTGGTTCGTCTAAGAATTTACAATTGTAAACGTAATTAAAAATGTCGACGACGAACGATCTCGCTAACGTTGCAAGCAGATAAATTTTTGCTTACTCACCGAATGGATTCTTAGCTATGATCGTTTGTTCCGCTTCCAGAGGTTTAGACTCTCCCTCGGCATTTACCGCGCTAACTCGGAACAGATATTCTTTGCCCGGTGTCAGTCCACTTACCTCCAGGTCTATTGAAACGCAAGAAAGTTTATTCGTTTATCTGACATTACGACGATATTTCTGTATAATATGATTATAATATTAAAAATTGTACGCGTAGCGACTTTTTAAAAGAATGCCTTTCAATTACATGGTTAAAATTATAAATATATAATCTAAAATAATTATGGCACTTACTAGGTTCGGTAGATCGGCCGCAAGGCACCCAGCATCCAGTCTCTGGGTCCATTTTGTCCACTTGATAATACTCGATCGGGGTGCCGCCATCGTCTTTCGGTCTCTTCCATTTCAACTTGCATCCCTCTTTGTGAACATCCGTTACTTGAAGCGGACCTTCCGGTGGCATTGGTTTGTCCGTGACTGTGACTTGTATGGTGACGGAATCCCTTCCAGAGGAATTGGTGGCTGTGACACTGTAATCGCCGCTGTCGTCGCGCGACACAGGACGAATGCTGAATTTGGTGCTATAATCGGAATTGTCTATCTGCACTTTCCTATCGGAATGCAGAGGAATAGCTCCGTATCGCCACTCGATGTGTGGTGGAGGCTCGCCGATTACATTAGCATCGAATCTCAGTAACGAACCAGCCGACAGAGTAACGTCACGCAGATTGCGCCGATCGATCTTGGGTGCCACTGTCGAAATGAAATTTATATGTAAGCCATCGCCCGATCAAGTGCCAAAAATCGATTTCACTGATGATTATTTATAGAGCATTGGGTGCGTTATCGTTAATGATGTCTATCCGAAAATTATGTATGATATTATATTTGCGACGAGGATACTGCTTCTTTTGTCTCAGGGATACAAGGCGATGATAAGTTGGATTGTTGCCACGATCGTTGAAAGATAGATTCTTCGAGACTCGATACACTTCGTTAAATCGATAACGAGGTAACGTGAAAACGTAACGTTATTGAAAAATGTAAAGTAACGTTAGTGCATTGAAATTAATAACGAAATACTTACGATAGCGTGGTTTAGCGGTGAACGTCTTGCTGGTATCGCTGGGCTCTGACTGTCCGGCTTTGTTCACAGCTATCACGCGGAACAGATAATCGTTACCCTCGATGAGCCCGTGAACCAGACCTTTCGTGGTCGGTACTTCGATTTCCAAAGCCTTTTCCCACATTGTACTGTATTTGTCTTTCTTTTCGATGATGTAGCCGGTAATGGGTGATCCACCATCGCTGACCGGTTCTTTCCATGTAAGCTCAACCTGGTTGGCGGTCCAATCGACTGGTTCCGGCGCACCAGGAGGACTTGGTACAGCTGAAAGAAGTTGTCACTGTTAAATTTCTTGCGGGGCTCCTAAGCTCATTCGTTTGTTCGTCTGTATCATTGCAGAATGGAATGTTTAATTTACGGGCAATTAGAATCCAATAATTTCACTTACTGAATGGATCTTTCGCTACAATCGAGCTGAATGTTTCCAGTGGTTCCGATTCTCCTTCTTTGTTAAGCGCCTTCACTCTGAACTTGTATTCGTGTCCAGGTGTCAGTCCTTCCACCTTCATTTCCGGCCCTGTCGTCTTGCCGACTGGTAACCAAACACCAGTGTCTGGATCGAATTTCTCCACGAGGTATCCCTCAATGGGTTCTCCACCGTCGTCCTTTGGTTTCTTCCACTTGAGCGTGCATCCTTCTGCGTGAATATCGGACACTTCCAGTGGTCCTTCTGGTTTGGCAGGTTTAGCTGCGAAAGAACCATAGGCGTAAGTAAGTCGCGCAAGTTTATACAAATTTTGATAAATATTTATTCGAGACGGTATTTATCGGAATAACGCTCGACTCTAATTCGAAACAACGAAATAAATGAACACGTACAGACAACGGTGACTTCGACTTCCGCAGTGTCGGATCCATACTGATTGACAGCTGTGATCTTATAAATGCCGCTGTCTTTTCGTTCGGGTTTGTCGTTAAAGAACTTGGTATTGTATGGAACGTTCTGTATCCTGCGGAACGTTGTTTGTTGAATGCTCTTGTTGTTGAGAACCCATGTAACATCTGGCGGTGGTTCACCGATGATTTTCACGTCGAAGTGGAATCCTTCGTTCTCGCGTACTGTGATGTCGCGTAAGTTCTTTCTGTCGATCTTAGGTGCAACTGTTGGAAGACAATCGATTAGTCGATAGTTCAGTCGAGACGATCGATAATTCAGTTTCTTATAAGTCAAACTGATCTCAATTGTACCTTCTGTTTTTAACTGAGTATGTGATTATGATTAGCATTTAATTTTTTATACGGAATTGATCAGTGTGGCTTCTACGCAACTCGATCGATTGCATAAAAATTGGAAAAATTCTTACGTCGTCGACTCTTGGCTGTAATCGGTTTGCTGGTTTCGGATGGTTCACCGGGACCAGCAATGTTAACAGCTTTCACGCGGAACTCATACTCGACACCCTCGTCGAGATTATCGACGCGTCCTTTGCAATCAGGTCCGGTTTCGCAAGCCTTTATCCATCGTGGACTGTCTTTCTCGCGCTTCTCAATTATGTATCCAGTGATTGGAGATCCACCATCGGTTAAGGGTGGAGTCCATCTTAGGTCTATGTGATCCTTGTCCCAATCGGTTGCCTCTGGTCGACCAGGCGGCCCAGGTTCGTCTATAAAACGAATTTGGTGATTCGTCTTCAGTCTTTTTTCTTTTTTCAATTTCGAGAATACAACGATGCGCTTTGAAACACTTCGGATTGTTTCGAAACTTAAATTTAAACGATCATTATCGAACGTCGGTAAAGAAAATCGACGTTAAAATAAAAAATACAACGAATTATAACAAATATATGGTTAATATCATGAATCAATAAATGTTTGAGATACTAACCGAAGGGATTCTTGGCTACGATTCCGTGTTCAGTTTCCAAAGGTTCCGATTCGCCTTCAGCATTCACAGCGCTAACTCGGAACTTGTATTCCTGACCAGGTACCAAGTTTTCCACTACCATAGTAGGTTCCTTCGTGCGTCCCACTGGAATCCACCTTCCTGTTTCCGTGTCCATTTTTTCGACCACGTAATGATCCAGCGGTGTGCCACCATCATCCAGGGGTGGACTCCATTTCAGTGTGCATCCTTCTTTGTGCACGTCGGATACTTTAAGCGGGCCTTCTGGTTTGCTAGGTTTGTCCAAGACCAAAATCTCGATCGACGCTTCATCTTTTCCAGAGCTGTTCTCTGCTTTCAGCGTCAAGGTGCCAGTGTGAGCTCTGCTAGCGGACGATACCAAGAACTTGGTTTTGTAATCTTCCAATTCGATGGTCACCGCGCCGGCAGACTCCTGTTTGGCTTTGTTCAAGAACCATGTTTTCGTTGGAGGTGGTTCACCGGTAACTTTCACGTCTAATCGAATGTGAGTGCCAGCTTTTATCGTTAGATCTTTCAAGTTGGTACGATCGATCTTCGGCGCTGCGTAACGATCCTTGGCTACTAGACTGTCGCTTGGTTCACTGGGTTTGCTCTGACCACCTTTGTTCACCGCTTTCACACGGAACTGATACTTCTGTCCTTCGACGAGATCCTCGACTCTGCCTTCTGTTTTGTTTCCAGGAACTTCAGCCGCCTTCTGCCATTTGCCGTATTGATCTTTCTTTTCGATGATGTACTTCTCGATCGGCGCACCGCCATCCTTCTTTGGCGCTTTCCACTTTAGGTCTACGTGGTGCTTCGACCAATCCTTTAGATCCGGCTTGCCTGGGGCGTCTGGCTCGGCTACGGTAACACAGCAAGATTATGAAAATAGTACTGAATGGCCAGAAATTTGAAGGAGAAGGTATTGTATATCATGGTGGTACGAATTTAAGCAGAAAAGCTTCAGAATCCCCGGTATAACGAAGTTGAAATAACATCTACTTACTGTAAGGGTTCTTGGCAGTGGTTGGAATCGCCGTCTCCAATGGTTCGGATTCACCTTCGGAATTGACAGCCTTCACGCGGAACATGTAGTCTTTGCCTTCGTTGAGGCCGGTGATTTCTGCTTCTGGAGTCTTGCTCGTGCCACAAGGTACCCACCTTCCGGTATCAACGTCCATCCTTTCGATGACATAATGATCGACTGGCTCGCCACCGTCGTCGTCGGGTTTGTCCCATTTCAATTTGCATCCCTCTGCGGTCACGTCTGACACCTCGAGCGGTCCTTTTGGTTTGCCAGGTTTGCTCAATACCTGGAAGGGAAAATAATTTATCGTTTGTTCTTTTCTTTTTACAAGTTCTCTCTCTCTCTATCTATCTATCTATCTATGTACGCTACTCAGAATTATCAGAGTAGTATCTTAACGCACCTGGAGCTCGACATCGACTTGATCGGTGCCGCTGTCGTTCTTGGCAATAACAGTGTAAGTTCCAGCATCCGATCTCTGTAATTTGCTTATAATGAAGGTGGTGTGATAGTCTTCATTTTCGATCTTAAGACGGTCCATGCTCTTAAGCACAGCGTCCTTGAGCTTCCAAGTAATGACTGGTGGTGGTTCACCTTGTATATCTGCTTCGATTCGTAACATTTGTCCCGTTCGCATAATCTTCTTCTGTAGGTTTTTGCGATCGATACGTGGTGCCACTTTACGCGATGAAAAAGAAAAAGAATTTATCAGTATCAGACAATATATACGAAATTTGATAGGAAAGAGGAGGCGTGTAATTCTTAAACAGGTTCCACGAGAACACAAGCTTCTACGAACTTCCTTGAACGAGTTTAGCCGTGAAACAGTATACTATGACCTATACACTTACAGAATCGCGGCTTAGCCACAACGCTCTTCGAGGTATCGCTGGGTTCACCGGGTCCGGCTCTATTGACAGCAACTATTCTGAACTCGTATTCGTGACCTTCCTGGATGCCATCGGTGACCTTGGCAGTAGTGCGATCTCCAAGAACATTAGCAACGTCTATCCATTGCCTTCCTTCTTTGTCTCTCATCTGTACAATATATTTCTCAATTGGAGCACCGCCGTCGTCTTTCGGTGCTGTCCATTCAAGGTCAACGAAGTCCTTGTCCCAGTTTCTGATTTCTGGACGACCAGGTTTGCCAGGCTCGTCGAACGGATTTTTAGCTATGATAGACTTGTCCGCTTCCAAGTCGTCGGATTCACCTTCGCGATTTACCGCTTTCACACGGAATTTGTACGGTTTGCCTTCCTGGAGTCCGGTTACCGTAACTTCCGGTTCCACGGATTTCGCACAAGGAATCCATTGTCCGGTAAGAGGATCCAACTTCTCGATCTCATAGTATTCGACTGGCACACCGCCGTCGTCGTCGGGTTTCTCCCATTTCAATTTGCAACCGTGTTTATTCACGTCGGAGATTTCGAGAGGACCCTGTAACGCAAAATAGTAATTCTTCACTGGCTAGAAGTCTTACAATTTTTAAAGAATATAACTTATTTTCGAAAGAGTCTGATTCTTTAAATTTAGAATTATGCTTTACTATCGAATTCGTGTAGGGTTACAGCTAACTCTAAATAAGGGGTTTTCATTGAATGAATTCGAATGTTACTTATTACGATGCCGAATTATTGTGATTTCAATAATGCCAGATAGGTATTCGTAGTTCTAATAATTTCTACGAAATTGTATTCCAAATTGTTACTTTATACCCTGCTATGCAAACAGGGGATGGAAATGTAGAAACGCTTTCAATAAAATACGTACTTTTGGTTTGCTTGGTTTACCGATGACGATTATTTCGACATCGGCACTGTCCTCGCCTACTTCGTTCTTTGCTTTAATTACGTATTTTCCGGTATGAGCCCTCTTAGTCTTCAGGATGAAGAATTTGCTATTGTAGTCAATGTTGTCGATACGGATCGTATCGTCCGACTTAAGTTCTGTCTCTTTAAAGTACCAAGTTACATTTGGTGGTGGCTCACCAATGATATTCACGTCCAAGGTTACGGTGAGACCAACTTTTACAGTTATCGGTTGCAAATTGGTACGATCGATGAATGGTTTCACTGTAACAGGACGAAACGAAATTTTAGTTATTGCTCGATTAACTCATCGATTAGCAATTCCTGTTCCGTGATGTTTTTTATTATGTTAATTATTATATGTGTAATTCCATAGATTCTAAGCGATCTTTAGCATTTTTGATATCAACAAAAATAATGCGTAATGGTAATTATTATATTTTCCTCAGATAAGTTTAGATTCAAGTGGAATTTTACTATAATCGTAAAATATTTAATTCGAATAATATTAATGTTATACTCACGCCAACGAGCCTTAGCAGTGTGAGGATTGGTAGCCTCGCTAGGTTCACCAGGACCGGCCTTATTTACTGCTCGAACTCTGAACTGATATTGATTTCCTTCCTCTAGTCGGGTCACTGTTCCTGTACAAACTGGACCATCGACCTCTGCAGCTTTTACAAAAGCGGTACCAAACTTGTCTTTCATTTCGATTATGTATCCTGTGATAGGTGCACCGCCGTCTCGAATTGGCGGCTCCCACTTCAGTTTCACCATGTTCTCGGCCCAATCGATGATCTCTGGTAGACCAGGCGGAGCAGGTGGATCTGAAGGTACAAGTTTAAGCGTTGTTACGACGCATATTTTAGAAAGCTAATTACCTAATTTTAACAATTAAAAACACGATCGAAACCCAGAGAAGAAATAAACGCGTTATCTAATCACCGTGAGAAATTAAAATCTAAAATTTTCCAAGTAATTCTTCATACCATAAGGATTTTTAGCGACGATGGGAACATCTGTCTGCAAAGGTTCGGATTCTCCTTCCTCGTTTACAGCCTTGACGCGGAATTCGTATCTCTTTCCAGGTTCCAAACCGGTAAGAGTGAGCTCTGTTTTTTCAGGATCAACCATCCCAGCCGATACCCATCGACCTGTAGTTGTATCCATTTTCTCCACCAAGTAATTAGACAGTGGCAAACCACCGTCGTCTCTCGGTTTGTTCCACTTTAATTTGCATCCCTCCTTGTGAATATCTGTCACTTCCAACGGACCTTCTGGTTTTCCAGGCTTATCGAGAATCGTAATTTCAACGTCAGCCTCGTCCTGTCCGGAATCGTTCACAGCTTTGATGGTGTATTTGCCACTGAGCTTGCGACTAGTGTTGGTCAACTGAATCTTTGTCAGGTAATCTTCGTTATCGATTTTCACGTTGGCTCCGGTTTGCAGCTCTGCACCACCGAAGCTCCAGGTGACGGTTGGTGGTGGTTCACCTTCGATGTCGACTTCCAGTTTCACCGTTTGGCCGGCTCTCACTTTGATCGTTTGCAATTTGTCACGGTTGATGTGTGGTTTCACTGAAAATCGAAAATTAAATAGTAACATCTCCGAATCGATTGCAACGAGTTTGTAAATGCAAATATTCAAAATATATTAGCAATGTGCTGAATTTAAGTTTAATGTATCGAACGATATCTATAATACATGTGCAGATATATAAATGCGATATGAGAATAATTGTTATACATTTGCAGAATCATTCGCAATCTAATTAAGAAATTAGATTTATCAATAAAAACATTGCTGAAAGATACTCACAGAATCGCGCCTTTGCAACATGTGGCTTGGTTGAGTCGCTTGGTTCGGATGGTCCAGCTTTGTTAACGGCACGCACACGGAATTGATAAACAGAGCCCTTTTTAAGGCCTGTGACGCGCCCCTTTGGTTGCGGTGATTGAGTTACCGTAGCTTCTACCCAATTTGTCGATGGTTTCTCTTTCATTTCTATTATGTAACCCGTAATAGGTGCACCTCCCGTATCTTTTGGCGGTTCCCATTTCAGATCGACACGATCCACGTCCCAATCTTCCAACTCTGGTACACCAGGCTTACTAGATACGTCTAAACATTATTCGGATGATTAATTTTTTTCTCATTCGTTTAAAAATACCCTATGAATGTCTACTATGTCAGAATGTTGATGATACTTTGGTTGGTTTGTGTTAACAATGCACGCATTTTATTAAAATATATGAATATACTAATAACAAATGAAAGATGATCAATCTACAGCATTGTGTGAAATGTGAAGTATAAAGGTCTTACCATAAGGATTCTTTGCAAGGGTCGTGCTATCAGTGACCAATGGTTCTGATTCGCCTTCTTCGTTAACTGCTTTCACTCGGAATTCATATTCGTGGCCTTCTTGGAGGCCTTTAACGTCCATTTCGGTATCTGAAGTGCGTCCAACCGGGATCCATCTTCCGGTGGATTTGTCCAGTTTCTCCACTACATACCCAGTAATAGGTTTACCACCATCGTCTTCTGGTTTTCCCCATTTCAATTTGCAACCGCTCTTTGTGACATCGGACACTTTCAGAGGACCCTCTGGTTTTCCAGGAGACGCTATTAACATTTATAGTCACGTATATTATGCGTTAGGTATAATCAAGTATTGTCATATAAATAGATACTATCATTCCTTAAAGAGAAAGATTATTGCGTTGTAAGTAATATGCTAGAGTTCCTGAATAGTGTATTACTGAATTCTGGTAGCTGGCATTACTTATCTTCCAGCAATTTAGATTATCTTCTACTGTTTAATAATTTAAGTTACTTAGTACTGGTGAGCACTGGTGAATTACTAAGACTAGTAGCGTGTCCAAATCATTACTGATGAAATACAGTCATTAGTTTTGGATACTTCTTCGGTATATTTTTTGTCAGTTCTCAATAATTTTCTTCTATAAGGAATGTTCCATAAAATTGCATCGTTAATGATCGAATATCAAAGTTAAACTTACAAAGTATGGTAATTTCGACCTCGGCTTCGTCTTCACCGTGTGCGTTTACAGCCTTGATCTTCCACACTCCAGTATTTTTACGTACGCTGTCGGTAATACTAAGTTTCGTGTTGTAATCGACATTGACGATTTCGATATTTTCACCAGTTTTAACTTCTTGGTTCTTGTGATACCAGGTGATTTCTGGAGGTGGTTCACCGCGAACGTCCACGTCGTATTTGATTGGTTTGCCAGCTCGTACGGTGATAGGCTTCAAGTTTGTACGATCGATTCTTGGTTTCACTATTACAAAAGAAAACGAAGATTCGATGTAAGGTTTGGAAGAATTACATATCACAAAGTATAGTATCAAATAGGAATGGAATACTTACGGGATTTGTGTTTGCATATCTGCATCTTCGAGGCGTCTGATGGCGGAGATGGTCCGGCTTTGTTTACAGCAATAATCCTGAATTGATATTCTCCTCGCTCCTTCAGATCGCCTACCTTGGCCTCCAGTTGACTTCCAGGTACCTCCATCGCTTTTTCCCAGTCTGGTTTATAACGATCTTTCTTCTCGATAATATACTTCTCGATCGGTGCACCACCATCGAAATCCGGAGCAGTCCATTTCAAACTTATGGATTCATTGTCGTAGTCGGTTATCTCAGGTGTTCCAGGTTTATGTGGTTCGTCTAGAAATTATCAGCAGAAATTGGTATGAAAGATTTGGCGATCCATTATACGTTCTGATCATTCTACTGTTCTTTTACTGTCAGATCTCAAAGATATAGCAAAGAAAATATAAATATCACTGTGTTTTTCATTTTCATCGTTTTCATCATGTTTTGCCCACGAATTTATATTAAAATTTATTATTTTCGCTTCTCCTATATTTTCTCTCTTTTAAAATATAAGAATTTCAAAAATATAATCAAGACATATCGATATAGTACTTGTACTCTGCGTTTCGCTTTGAATCGCAGCTTTCATGCCTACCATATGGATTTCTGGCGATGATCGGACGTTCGCTCTCAAGTGGTTCGGAATCACCTTCGTCGTTGACAGCTGTAACGCGGAATTTGTACTCGCCTCCTGGATTTAATCCAGTTACCTCGAATTCCGTATTCGGTGCATTGCCTGGAACTTTTCCCACTCTGACCCATTTGCCAGTTTTCGTGTCCAATTTTTCGATCTCGTATTCTTTGATCGGGACACCGCCATCGTCTTCTGGTTTCTCCCATTTCACCTTGGCCGAGGTTGCTGTAATGTCCGTCACTTCTAACGGACCCTTCGGTGCTTCTGGCTTGCCTGCGTAACAAAAGCAACTCTATTAACTCTCCTGTGGACACTCGGCTACACATCTACAAATTTTCTTCACGATCTCTTATGTTCTTGCCAAAGTAATCAAGAACTGAATAAGATGATTAAATAAGAAGTTCTAACAGAATATAACTGTATTTTAAGAATAATCGAAACTTACCGAGAACTGTAAGTTCGACAGTCTCTTCGTCCGTTCCGTTAGCGTTCTCCACTTTGAGAGTGTATTTTCCGGTGTCTTTGCGCATCGCGTTCACGATCGTAAAGTCTGTGTGATAATCGACGTTATCGATCTTGATGCGTTCCGTGTTGGTTAGAGGGATGTTATCCCTCCAAATCCATTTAATTTCTGGTGGTGGCTCTCCGGTGATGTCCACAGACCATTTGTGCGTACGACCCGCCTTGATGATTACGGATTTGAAGTTGGTTCTGTCGATTCTTGGTTTAACTAAAATTCGATAATAAAGTTTAATAATAAAATTAAGGTAAATTGACGGAAACGTTCGAATACTTATGAACAGCGTTTGTACATTGAGAACGAACTTACGGTTCTTGTGTTTGCAGAGGTGGTTGTCGGTAGGTTCGCTGGGTTCACTCGCGCCTGCTTTATTATGAGCACGAACTCGGAATTGGTAAATCATTTTCTCTTTCAGGCCTTCGACCTTCACTTCCGGAGTGGCGTCAGCGGTTTTCGTTACCTCGACCCAATCCACCGCAAATTTGTCTTTCATCTCAACAGTGTAGTGAGTGATTGGTCTGCCACCGTCGCTCTCAGGCTTCTGCCATTTCAAGGATACGCTAACGTTGTCGTAATCGAAGATTTCTGGTTTGCCAGGTTTGCTGGGCTCATCTAACGGAAACCAAGAGTTAAAGTTAAAGAATTGCAAACATTAGAGATTTGAGGCTGTAATATCATAACGTAAACGAGCTTCCAGGTGTAAACCACGTCATAAAAAGAAAAACGGAGGTTGATCCACATGTTGATCAGTGTACTTATGGAAAGCTTGAAGGCGATAAAACGCGCAAAATGCACCTAACGTGCAAAAATATACGAAGATCACAGGAGGAAAAGACGACAAGTACGTTTTTTAACGCATTTTCCATAAAACTGTGATTTACACTCGAGAAAGCTTTGATTATAAAAGCTACGAACATCGTTGACTCCTCGTAAGCTATTAATGATTCTATTTACCATATGGATTCTTGGCAAGAATAGCTTCGTCGACTTCCAGTGGCTCGGATTCACCTTCCTTGTTCACAGCTTTCACGCGGAATTTGTATTTCTTCTTCGGAGTCAAGCCACCGAAGGTGAAGGAGTAATCGTTTGGTCCGACTTCTCCGGCAGGGATCCATCGTCCAGTGTCCATATCCATCTTTTCCAAAACGTAACCGGTAATATCGGTACCGCCATTGTCTTCCGGCTTTTGCCACTTCACTGTTATGTGATCGGATCGGACTTCTTCCACTTTCAGCGGACCAGTTGGTTTCGACGGCTTGTCTGCAGAAAGAGAAAGAAACGATTTGCAAAAGGTTCTCACGGTATCAAGTGGTTCGTCGACGAACACATAGGATGGAATAATTTATTATTTTACTTTGTAACTTCCTTAGAAGCATTTTCTGAAGAATCTTAACAATTTATGCGATAGCGAAAAGGATGACCGAAAGTTCCATTGAATTTATATTCTAGTTCAGTAAGCCATAGACAAGTCAAAAGACATGACAGAGTAAAAAGGAAAGAAACAGAAACTTACCGAGTACAACAACGTCACCGATGCTCTCGCAGGTTCCAGAACTGTTGGTCAGAACCAGCTTGTATTTGCCTGAATCTGGTCTAGTCGTTTTTCTAACAGTAAGCACCGTGTTCCTTTCATATTTATCGATCGTGATTCTTTCCGCTGCATCTTGAACAATTTCTTTTTGTCCAAGGAACCAATGGACTTCCGGCTCGGGTTCACCGGCATATTTAATATCGTATTTGATAACTTGTCCTTTCTTTATGATGAGATTGGTCAAACCATCGCCAACTATGTACGGTTTGACGAATCGGGATTTGGCGATAATTGGTTTCGTAGCGTCTGAAGGTGCACCAGGTCCGGCCTTGTTCACGGCTCTGATTCTGAATTCGTATTGGGTGCCTTCCTTCAGACCGTCGATGGTAGCTGCTGTTACGTCTCCTTCGATTTCTTTGCCCTTCACCCATTCTTTACCGAACTTCTCTTTGTACTCGATTATGTAGCCCGTGATCGGTGCTCCGCCATCGCTTTCTGGTTTCGTCCACTTCAAGTCGGCGTGATCTTTGTCCCAGTCCACCACCTCCACGTCCGTCGGTTTACCTGGCTCGTCTGTTAACAAGAATTACATTTCTCATAATTTCGCCAGGACCATATTCTTTTGCTTATTTATACTTGAAAAATTTTGATTGGAAAGTATAGCAATTTCAAGAAATTCTAGTTTAGAAAATGTTTAAAAATTTTAACTTAACGCCTTCGCCATGGCGTCGATTTAGAGTAACTTTACGTTCGCAATGCGAACGTATAATTAATTTTATACTAAACGTAATTTTATTCCGTGATCAGATCTACGTTGAACGTATTAACCCGTAACTGGTTTGATGATCGTTTCACCACGTAGACAGAAATATTCAGGAATTTACAAAAGGTGATATCGTGAGACACGCACATCAAGTTATACATTTATCGACAATACAACACTTTACGATGTATATTCTCAAAATTACCACAAAGACGACAATTCCTAGCGTTGCATAGATTCCGCCTGTCCAGTTACGGATTTAAAGTGAATTATTTCATACGTACCCCATGGATCTTTCGCGAGTACTGGTTTGGCGAACATCGCGGGTTCGCTGGAGCCAAGTTTGTTCACCGCTCTGATACGGAATTTGTATTCTTTTTTCGCTACAAGGTCTTTGACTTTGTAAACGCATTTCTCGCCAGGCATAACTTCGCCGACACTGTCCCATTGTGCCTTCTTGCTGAGGTCGAGACGTTCGATCACGTATTGCGTGATTGGTGATCCACCGTCGTCTTTCGATGGTTTGAAAGACACCACGCAAGAGTCTTGGAAGATCTCGGTAACGTCAACGTCCGTAGGCGGAGCTGGCACATCTAAACGAGGTTTGAACGATTAAGTTAGTTACAACGAATGGCACGGTTATTGTTCGTCGCTGGGAGAGAGGCGACTGAAACGGTACACCGAAGTTGAGAGCGACGGCCTGCAAAGTTTTCAGGGAGAAAACGATAGAAGACACTGTAGGAAGTCGAGAAATTAGGTTCCTCTTTTTGTACAGATTGGAGAATGAAAAAACGAGTAAGAATCAATCTTGCAAAATTAAAAATTTGTGTATCATATTCCATTGTTTTAGCGTACGGTGAAAAGTGTTTTAGTGGACAGTAAAATAACTTTACAAAAAACAAATAGAACACGTCTGAGCAACAGTACTGGCGTTGGGATAGAAATGATCGATCAAAAGTCGGTTTACCTTGCATATTAATATTCACATCACGGACTTCCTCTCCTTGGCTGTTGCCAATCTTTACTTGATAAATTCCAGATTGGTCATGAGAAGGTTTCTTGATCTTGAACGTGATCTTGTCTTCGCCTACAACTATTTCTACATCCTTCAACGGCAATGGTTTGCCGTCTTTCATCAGTTTAGCTTCTACCTGGCTCTGTTTCGTTCCTTCGACTATGGACAAGAATAATAGTTTTAGAAGACGATCGCTTCGACGAATGAACATCGATATATTGACGTATCTACATGATAAAAATTAGCATTTCCTAATCATAGCAAATGGGGTTCAAGTAGCAATAAATTATTCCTCAGGATCTCGGTTTCTAATTACTGACAAGTATACGCGTGTACATGTATACGCGTGTTTCGAAAGGATTAAATCAACTCGTAACAAGGAAAGAACGAAACTTACTCTTGTAAGGAACAACGAACACAAGCGGTTGGCTGCAAGGACCTTCGACCTTATCGGGGATTTCAACGATCGGTTTACTCTCGCCCTTTTTCACCGTCAGTTTACAGCTGCTCGTTAATTGTCCGCTCTCACATGTAATTTCACCATCGTCGCTCATTTCTAGTCTATTGAAGATTAGTTGATGCTTGCCACCACCCAAGTTCTTGATCTCGATCCTCTCACTGGGTTCGATCTTTTGGCCATTAAACAAGAAGATGGCAGGTGCGGTCTGATCTTGAAGTTCCACATCCAGTACCAATTTTTCTCTTTCCACTGCCACCGTGTCCTTCAACTTCTTGTTGAATCGGTTCGCATCTGAGGAGTTTGGTTATTAAATTAACGTAACATCCGATCGATAGATCTTATACGATCTTTCCGGTGCTAGGTGAACTTACAGTTTATAACTATTTCGGCTTCAGTCTTGTCAGCGTTGCTCACGCACGAGTATTGACCGGCATCTGTGACTTTTACATCCTTGATGATGAGCTTCCTCTTTCTGCCCTCTTCCTTGATCTGTACCCTGTACGATATTAATAGTATCTGTATTAAAATCCTACGTTTATGAGCAGCGAAACAACGAAGACTATACGTGTATTTAATTTATGTTAATTCTACAGTTCGATCTTAATGTTGTTAATTAACTAAGGGATAAACGTCCTTGTACTTGCTCTGGGTAAAATTAGTTTTAAATTTTACCACGTTGTATCTTTCTTGCGAAAAGATCAGAAATTACATAACGTCTACGTTCGCATATATTGTCAGTATAATTTTTTAATCAGCATTCATTGTTGGTATAATAATTGATACGCGAGATATCTGCTCTGCAGCTCGAAGGAATTCGATTTTGAAAGGATCGAGGAGATCGAATCTGAAACGACGTCATTACCTCTTGTCAGGTACAATCTCCTGGTCACCTCTGAACCATTTCACTTCGCCACCAGCGTCATCCAACTCGCAGACGAGCGTTAACGTTTCCTTTTCTACGATCTGCTGGGACTTGAGCACCTTTACGAACTTATAAGGATACTCTGCATGGAAGAAGGGATATTTTAGAATTTGCAAACATCGTCGATCACCAGAGTTTATAAAATATCTAGGATAACGTTTTCCTAGATTGAAACATACCAACTATAGTTAGAACCGTTTCAGTCTTGTCGGTTTGTTTGTTAATCTTACAAATGTACTCGCCGCTATCTTCAAGCGTAGCGCTCTTTATGGTTAATCGACAAACGCCGTTCATGTCCTTCGACATACTGTACGTATCGCCCTCCTAGAGATATTAATTAATCGTTTTTTTTTTTTTTTATGTATTTTGTATTTTCAATTGTACGATGTACGAGAAATGAAATTGTAATCTTAAAAGCTTCACCTCCAACTTCGTTTTTCCTTTGTACCACGAAACTTGCGCGAGGTTGGAGCTAACTGTACATTCCATGTAAACTTCATGCTTAGTGTAACCACTTGTTTTCTTAGCCAGTGGTTTCGTGAATGTGTAAGTTGGATCTGGTTCTGTGTAACAATAAATCAGTAGCTCGATATATTCTAGCCAAGATGATATATTGTGACTTATAGTCCAAGTCTATAATCGAATGTTAATAAAAAAAAAGGAGAAAAAAAGAAAGAATAGAAAATATAGAAAGGACAAAGAGCAGGACAACGACTTAACAAATTTAAAAACAAATACAAATTTAAAAAAAAGACCAAACTCTGTCCTCTTATTTGGTTTTGGAACAAGTATCGCTACGTATACTACTAGTCCTTGTATACAGTTCGCGAAAATCCATCGAATCGTACTAACCTTCAACGTTGAGGAAAGCTGTGCTGGAGATACCTGAAATTTCAATTTTATACTTCCCGGTATCCTCGACCTTGGGATTCATAATAATCAGTTGATAACAATCTTCCTCGTTCTTGAACTTGTATTTCGACGAAGGGAACAGTTCCTAAATAAGACAAGCGAATTTCTTTAAAAATTTCCGAATAAACCTTTCGATTAACGTCTATTTTATTATTTGCCAATTAATTATTTAATAATAATTAGGTGCAAGATGATCATAGCGGTGTAAGCTAGTTCAATACCATTTTTCGTAAAACGCTAGTATATTGTAAACGGTTAGAAGGAACTGATTGAATATTTATTGTAGGAGAATAAAGTTGCAACTTAATTCGCCAGCAAACTAAAACGACGACGTTCGTAAGAATCAAAGTACGTGTCGAAATTCAAATTCTTCAAATTTTGACCGAAACCGCTATGACGTTGGAACACTCAATCGATGGACAAATATAACAGACTTATAGCTGTCGGGATAAATAGATAAAAAGAAAGAAGAGACTTACGTCCTTTCGGAAGAACCATTTTGGTTTGCAGTTCGGTTTCGAGAAGTTCGCCTCGAAGACCACCTTCTTGTCTTTGCCTTCCTTGGCATATTGGTCCACCAGTGGTTTGAGGAAACTTTCCTGTTTCTGTGAATAGGAAAATTCTGTTAGCGAAGGACTCCTCGTTAAGAAATTTCCATCAGATCTAAGAACACCGCCAAGAACGACAACGTTGCTGGGCATACAAGGAAGATGAAGAGTCAAAACGTTTAAAAAAAAGAAGGCGCCACAAACCAACGGATGTCTCGCTAGGCGAGGTAAAAATATGTACAAAATTGCCCCAAAAATAGAGAAAAATTCTCGTCGACGAGGACGAAGCGTTCGAAAGCCGCTGTAGCTGGAAAATTCTAGAAAAAAATAACGGAACAGCACAAAAATAAAATGTCGGCCGTAAAAAGGTTCGATAGAAGATTGTTGTCGAAGATAGTGAGAAGTGACGATGGATGAACGTATATATAATACATATATATGAGAAAGAAGAATAAAAGTTGTCGAAACAGACCGTGTATAAATTTGATAGATTTGAGGAAGAAGGTGAGAATAGAAGAAACAGACGTAGGAGAAGAGAATGAGAGAGATATCGTAAAAGACAAAGAGAGAAAGACGAGTGGTCTAGTCGTTGAAGAAACGATAAATAAAGAGGAAAATAGTGAATCGCATTCTCATAAGAAAGAGCGAGAAAGAGCGAAAAATATAGAGATAGGGAGGAATAAAAGTGAAAGACATCGATATCACGCTGGTAGATCGTGAAACTGTGTTTCAAGTTTCAAGTTGTCGAGGAATACGATCCAACCTCCGTCTTGGTGAAATGGTGCAGGGTCGGCCAGTCGGGAATTAATTCGGCGAGAGAGGGTCTACGAGATCCACTACTCTATAAAACAACAAAAATCGTCTACGATCACAGTCTGATTTACTACACGGGTATCTTCTTCGTTGAGGCTGATGGCAGGCAAAGTAAAGCGTAAAAAAAATCGTGTTTTTAATAGAAATCGAGCTTAGTGGTTTGCTTGTGTGGGTAGTCTTCTATATCCAAATAATTTCAGAAAAATAACCAATGAAAATATTAGTCGTATTAATTTCACTAGTTTAGGACCTAGCAAGGACCAACGTTAACGCAACCTTTCATTCGAAAACTTTTCTCCATTAATTTAATCTATCTTTTATCGAATTATGTCTTTCAACACCGAGGTTGTGAAACATATTTCCTAGTATTAATACTTGTTTCCTCGTTGCTGCTTCTTTCACCCAGCTCTCATTACGATTTTACCAAGTTCCAAAGAAATCGAGCTATTTAGAAAACTATGGAAGATAAACTTTCTTTATATCATGAAATTACGTAATACGTAAATTGTTTTACGTTTCTCGATGAATTTATCTCGGTAAATTTATCTGGATTTCTTCAGAACTTGGTAAAATTGGAAGATCTTAGTGGCTGAAGCGACGATGACGAAAAAAGCAAATTTGACGCGTTACTCGATACCAATACGTGGTCCTTAACTGGTTCCCTAACGGAAAACCGTTGAAGCCGAGCTCCTCTAGAAAAAAGAAGCGCAGGCCAAAGCAGGTGAACTCAATGGATCGCGAGAATTTCATCGTTGACACAGCAACCCTGAAGCAAAGAAACTGAAAAACGCGACGGAAAATCTCGCGATCGTCTCGGTCGTGAAACGGGACAATTTACATGTTCCTAGCTTCCTTCGTAGTTCTCGTAAAAGTATCCTTTTACAGGTGTCACATAAAACTGCTTGTATTTGTTGAAGCTTTGCAGGGTGGAAGTGTAGGCGTTTAGTCTGTCCTTCGAAGCTTTTAACCCTTTGGGGACGTGGTATACGCAATGCCAAATTTTATCAACGCGTGTACAAAAGGTACCACGATTATAACTAAACTACGGATGTTTGCGCGAATTTATATTTGTACAAACGCGACCGTAGAAATGGATCCTACAGACATTCGTTTCACCCACCGAATATCACACAGAGCTACGACGATTACTTATACAGAAGTAACTTGTCATAGAAACGGTGCGTTCATGTTTTAGAAATTCTTGTTTCTTATTTACGTTCCGTGTAATTTTGCGTCTTTAAACTTCCTATAGGTGTATAAACATCCGCGGTCTAATTATAACGGACGCAGTCCAGTTACAACGGTCGAGCAATGGAAGAAACATGGACGGAAGAGATCGTTGGAAAAGGCATCGCGAGCCCAAGGGATTAAAGTAGAATCGAGCGCCAGGAATGAAGAAAACGTTGCTAAAATCGTTTTCGCGAACCTTCTCTTTGATCACTGTCGCTAGTATCGGCCAGTCGGCGATTAGCTCCTGCAAACTTGGCCTGCGCTGAATGTCGAAGACGTCCTGCATGCCCGGCACACACACACGTTCACGTTAATCCCACTCTTGTACGATCCCGGATATCAAGTAGCGGACCACCCTGATGGTTACTTTCATCAAGCTACCCTTCCAGTCGAATCGTTTAAACAACGACGCGTTGTAAATTTCATATAAATTTCCTAAGCGATCTACGTGAATTCGAATTCATCAAATTTCGATAAACGCTTCTTAATTCGCATCAGGGTTTTCCGCGTTAAAACACTTAAAAGACATTTAACATTTAGAGATAATGCTTGCTGCTAGGTTACACACCGTTATTAATAATCGAGCTTCGAGATGCATACCGCGTTAATCATACCTACGAGTGCAATTTTACTCGACAAAGTGCATAGTTTCTACTCATGCATTGTGAACGATGATTTTTTATTTGATCGATAACGAACAAGACTGATTTTTGGTTAATCGATTGTTGGTTAATAAAAATCAATTACTACGTGAATGTGTACGATACGAATCAAATACGTGTATATCGAAATACGAGATTCAAGCGCAGCATTAGCTCTAAACTAGCGTGTGTACGCGTGAATATTACACGGTGCGTGTGCTCTTGTAATTTAGAACGCAACGGTTCTGTCGTCAAAGTTTCGTAAATACAGTTGAGTGTATCGTTTGTTCTTCAGTGCGAGACTTTCGACGCAGTGATAACGTGTAATGTGGATTAGTACGGGGTTTCTGTTTCCACAATTTCTTTCCTTTCTTTTCTTAATCCCTTGAGTCCTCGTTAAAACGATCAAACGCGACCGAACGGATCTACCTGTACAAAAGCAAAATTATATCTATTTGTCTAACCATCTCAGTTGTTTATAATCTTTTTTAATTTCTACTCGCGTATATACATACGTGTAACGTACGAACTAAATGCTCAAAGGATTAAGCCTACCTTTCTTTCAAAATATCGTCGACTTACTTAACGCGAAACATATTTCTTCCAAGGGTTCCTAAAATTGTAGAAAACAGAATGGTATATTAATGCGTCCAAATTGCGTCTCGTCAAAGTCGGGAAGCTATCTACGAGGGGAATGATGCCTGAAAACCTTGAGCCAGCTCCAGTTAGTTTCACCCTTCTTGTCTAGAGAAATTCGAAGGACCTCCTCACCCTCCGCCAAGATCACTATATCCTCCCCGTCTTGATACCAGCTTCTTCCGTGCATCACGAAGTCGCCCAGCGACTACGAAGACAAACTTGTACAAAGAAGAAAGAGACAAACAAAGAACTTGCTACCACCGATGCTATATCATCGATAGCTTTCGAACGTACTATCGATGTATATCCGATTTACGGAAATGTTAAGTTGTCGGTCTTTGTCTTTTCACCTACTTACCAAATAAATCGAGCTTGTCGTCGACTTAAGCTATTACGACGTTATTCTCTAGTACATGTACGTTAATTCTATTAAATTCTCGACCGAAGTTGTGTCGTTGGTTTCGTATCTCACCTAGCGCTTGAAATTCATTTATAATTAAACGATAAGCAATTTTTTCTTTCCAGATAGAACAACAGTATAGACGTAGTAGCATACCGAGCTGTTATTCAATGATCGCAAGTAATCGAGAAATGCAACAGACTTACAACGAATGGACATGCATACCAATAAGGACAAGCTACCTCAAGACATACAAGAAAAAAAAAAAAAAAGAAAAAAGAAGAAGATTCAAAGTTTCTGATTCGAGGTATTGAATCACGTGATAAGAACGATCTTCGATCGTAGACGAAAGTAATTGGCTACGCACCTTCTCCAACTTTTTCAAAGCCGGCAAAGGTTTCTCGACTTCCTTTAAGTCTACCTTTTCCTGTTCTTGCTCTTCTCTCGCCCATTTCTGGTACTTTCTCTTTTTCAGCATAGCACGGAAATCCATACCACTGGCGTCTGCAATGAAACATCGAGGATCGAAAAGATTGACAACGAAGACAGTAAAGATTACGATTAAAAACGATTAAGGATCGAAGAATCGAAAATTAAAGATCAAGATTAGAAAAATTAAGAAGAAAATTGGAAATTAAGATCGAGAAGAATCGGAGTAAAAATTGGAAATAGAAGGTTTGATACGTAGAAAGAGATAAGAGAGTTTACCGGAAACGTAGAGCTGCATCTCGGCAGTGTCCTCGCCATGGATGTTGCTCACGACGATCTTGTATGTGCCCTCGTCGTTGGGCTTCGTCTTCCTCATGCAGAGGGTGATCGTATTGGTCTCTGTGTCCGTAAGGAACTTGAATCGGCCACCTTCGATGATCTCGGTGATACCCTTGTAGAATTTGAAGGTCGGCGCAGGCGTACCTTCCACCCCAACAGTGAGATACGCCGTCGAATCTGAGAAAAACGTTCATCGTATTCGATCGATCGAGTCGATTCGACAAGGAAATCAACTGAGACGACTTATCGCTACTTGGTCTCTGTTTTCGCTGCTCTGTTCGATCGGAATATTATTCCAACTATTGCATTATTCCAAGTATTACAACTAGCTTCTTCAGAGGATCGAATGACGCACCGAAATTTTTGCTTACGACGAAAATAGAAATATATTGGCTTGGCAACTAAGTGATTGCGGATTTTGTCATTAGG